AACAATTTACTATCTGTTACCATTTCAGGTGTAAACGATTTTTTTTTTCCTATAATCATGAATCTTCCCTAGAGAGTTCTTTTAATATTTTCGATCGACAATGTACAAACATATAAATTAATTAATGTAAGCCAAATCGCTAGAAATCGCTGGAGATCAATTTCACAGCAAAGTACAGCACAAAAAAATAATTATGTAACTAATAGCATTCAATTTCCAAATCAAATAATTATAGAATGCTAAACATTTTTTTAAAGGAAAGATTAGATGCCCTTTAATTTACGGCTGGTGTATTAAATTTTTTTTATTCTAAATTCAAATATTTAGATTGGAAAGAGTTGACCAGTTCAATGCTTATTATTTATTACTCAATTCAAGGGTTAATTGAGTTGGAATAAATCAGTATAATAATTAAAAACATAATTAGCTAAACATACCCAAATTCCGTAAGAAGTCCGAAAATTTTTTTACTATATAAATAGTCACCATCGTTCACAAAAATTATATAGAGTTTGAAAAATTCTCGACCTCTTCAGCTTTGAAGTTCAGGGTGGTTCTCTTTGGCTTCCTGTTGGCGTGGTTCTTTTTGGCTTCAAGTTTTTCCTATATAATTAGGTAAACTTTGTTCTATACTTATACATGTTTTTACTTTTATTTATTTTGTTTGATTTTTCTTTTATCAAAATTAATTAATAATCTTTTCGATTAAGGATGCTGGACCCCTTGATAATAATAGGACGATTGGGGAAAGTGGTAATGCTTGAGATTGTTGTCTTGTAATTCTGACGGGGAAAACGAAAATCTGATGATGTAGTAACAACACGTTTATACAAATGATTTTTTCACTTTATATACTTTGTTCTATTTTTCTTTTGTTCCACATTTCATTTAATCTCTTCTCTGATCTTGAAATCGGGATACCGTATATAGCATCAGTTCATAATTTTCTCTTATTTTATTTTACTTTTTGAAACTGATCAGTTCATAGTTTTGACATTTAAGTGTGAACACCTTGGTGAAGTAATACCCCCCCATTTACTGTTTTCCTTTTTTAAAAAAGTCACCAAATTTTTTTGCCTACCAAACTAGTGAAAATTTTATCATTTGGGTATCAGTATTCAATCCCCAAGTATTCCTCAATTCTTTCTAATTTGGTTGCTTTGCATATTAATACATTCACACGATTCACTGGCGTAAAAATTTATTATGAATTTTATTCTACATTTTGGTCCTATGCAGGGAAAAAAAAAAAGAAAGAAAAAGGTGTAGCTCAACAGTAGAGTGTTCTTCTTGTTTTACAGTATTCAGGACAAAATGGCAGGACAAGGTTTCGGTTTTGTGTTCTTCTTTGGATGTTCTTCTGGTTATTAAGGTGGTTAATTACTACGGACATTTTGTGGGAGGAATTGTTACTGTATGCAACATATCTATCGCTAGGTTTTAGTTTCTTTGACATAATGAGCATTTTTTCTGTAATGATTTTAGTTTGATTATGTTTTTCTTTCTTACTTTTCATTCAATAGTACGAATTCCTTTGTTGCTGTATGCAACATATCTATCGCTAGGTTTTAATTTCTTTGACATAATGAGCATTTTTTCTGTAATGATTTTAGTTTGATTATGTTTTTCTTTCTTACTTTTCATTCAATAGTACGAATTCCTTTGTTATGATTTCTCTAGTACTCTTAATTTGTTCGTTTACAAATGAACCTGATAATATGCATTTTTTTCTTGTCCAAACTGATGTTTTGATTCTCTCCAAAAAATAAAGATGATCACGATGGCGTTATACAAATTAGATAATACATGTAAAATGGACTATCTTAAATCAGATGTAAATAAGGTGCTGAAGTTTATATCACGTAGTTTAGATAAGGTGCTGAAGTTTGTATCACGTAGTTTAGCAACATGAGTTGCTCATTAGGTGAAACAATAAATTTGATAGTACAGGTGGTTCTAATTCGATCAAACGATTTGTAAGTGTGATATGGAAGTTGTACAACTAATTAATTCGTGTTCCAACTTCCAAGGAATATTGTATTGATTCTAGCGCGGTTTGAAGGACTTGCATCAAGAGTAAAAAGTCACGGATTGCCGATCGAACAATGGCATTTTGTTAAGAGTCCATGATGTTTTTCATGTTTTCCTTCTGCACGTGTACAAAGTTTGAACAAGCCTCCTAATAAGACATCACACGAATCCTTCCCGCATAACAACCAGAGTATTCACTAGAGGCTGTTGAAACATTGAACAAAAGAATTGGCTATATATGTCATTGACTTCTTCGACCTCTAACAACTCATCAAGATTCCCTTTCTGCTCATATTACCTGAAACTACGATCAAGATTTCACCTACTGAAAGCTGATTATCTTGATCCTCTTCGATTTTTTTTCCCCTTTTCAAGCTCCGCATTCGCTCTCCGTCACGAATTCACACGAAGAACAAACCAAGAGAGTATGGCCAAATCTAACACAACGCATTGAGTAGCTATCAAATTCCGCAAGATCGAACTAAGTGTGCCGGTTCCCGCAAGTTAGATATTGGGCGGCATAGTAATTGTGTCGGCCAAAATTGTATACTTATTTCGGAGTCCCACATTGGAAGCGGGGAAAATAGAGTTAGACAAGAGAGCTATAAAAAGGAGAAGTATGGCTCGGTTATGACTTGCCTTAAACTAATGAGTAAGGAAAACAACGCGGCCGGTACGACTTGCCGCAGCGTCCTCAGTGACGCAAGAATTTTTGGAGGGGTTATAGGTTGGCAGAGTGCTGACGCTGCCTACTTTTTTGCAGAACTCGCTCGCGCGGGCCTCCCAACACCCATAAAACCTAACCCTGAAATTTTCATCTGAAGAACAGATTTCTAGAAAACAAGGATAGATACGATTCGATGCATCATAATTAAAGTGAACTGAATGTAGAAGGCCATGTGGTTTTCGGGAAATTGTTGATTTCGTTAATATTGCAACAACTTATCGCTCGAATAAAATCAAAAGAGCAATTTGTATCTGATTTGTACTTCATCATGTCCTCTGGTGGAGTAAATCATGTCCTGCGGAAATTGACAACTTTTACATGGTCCGGGAAAAATTCCGAAGAATAATTTTTTTAAAAGAAAGATTTCCAACAACTGATGAGGGGTGGCTGCAACATAGAGGCCAATTTTGCGTGTTTTTCCGAGGGCGATTTTGGATGGCATAAACACTAATTTTTTTATTGTGATTTTTCGGCAAGCTTTGTTTCCAACCTTCATCGAACTGTTCTGTTTGCGTGATCGTATGCAAATTGGCAACATGGTGTTAGTTGGGCCTCTATTGTTAAGGTCTTGACAAACTTTTTAATGAGTTTGTACTTTGTAGGATTCAATAAGAGATTTAATCCTAACACTAGAGTAGTGCATCAAATTAGGAAGATCACTTGGGAATCGGGATTGGTCATGATTTTGTGGCTTGTTAATTTTCTGAGGTGATGATGCTAGTTAATGGGCTATCTAGCTAGATGTGATAAGAGAATTCCTTGTTAGCTTGTTCTTAAATGATATAGCTATATTTTAATGTCATTGGCCTTATTTTAGTATAAAAAAAAAATGACAACCCTATTTTGAATAGGCTTGAATGCTTTTAACAGTTGTATGATAACTTATTGGTTAGGATATTGTGATTCCTGTTATTAGACATTGGTTCATTTTCCAACTATGGGTATATAGGGAGATTTTACCAATATTTAAGGGGAGTCTATTAGAATTGATTTTTTTAAAAAAAATTAATGTTGAACGACTAATAATCTTCACTAGTTTCCAAATCAGCCACCCCATCCAGAAGGAACTTACTCATGGATGAGACCTTTATACTGTTCGAGAAAAACTGTTAATAGGATGGTTTATGACTATTACTTCCTTAAGAACATATGAAGCTTTCGGAAATATGTAATTCAATCCATTTGAACTGAAACTGTCGCATTTTCTCATGAAGCCTCATCACCAGCGACTTGATTTTTCTTCCAGGCACATAACTTACTTTCATAGCAACTCCCTTTTTGAAAAGACGTGAATATTTCCTTGAAACTTATATCAAACTTAGATAAACGTCTGCAAAAATATTTTTTCCCTTCACTCTATAAATTATTTATGAAAGTATTTTCTCTCAATTTATGTGTGGAAACTAATGAATAGCCTTCCTTGTCGTAGATGGTTAGAAGTTCAAAATCTACTTACAAGATTGAATATGCAGAAAAGATCGCCTTGATTGGAACTTGAACTGCTTCCATGAGATTTCACGAAAGCTATTTGAGGTAGCTGCAAAATCCGAATTCGAGCCAGAGTTTAGAGTTTTGATGATTAAGAAGATGAACTAATTAAAACGTCTAATGGCTACATAGTTCAAAGTGTCATAAACTATAAATTGTGTAATTGATTTGTACAATATTGTGAAAGCTAATATGAAGAGTTATTTTATTTGTCGGTTACGCTGACAATGATCATGGAAATATTGATTAGTTTTCATTCGAATGCTTAGTTTTTAAACTTAAAACAACATGTGGATAGCAGTTCTGGTATGTTGCGCATCAAATCCATAAGAATCAAGCATCTTTTCTTATTCTATTATCAATTTACCGTTCAGTTAAGCGCTAAAGGATGTCCAAACTAGTTTTCCTTAGTATGGACACTATTCAAATGGAGGGATGGAAGAATTGGTTTCATCATCTTAACTTATCCCCTTTCAAAATTAGTCTATTCTTTAAGTTACGTATAAATGGTATGGTAAAATTTCTGAGAAACAAGTGTAATATGGAGACAAAAATTATTTACTACACAATGTTTCCAAAACACTGCTGATTATAAATCTTGGGGAGGAAATTACTGAAGAAAATTACGAATGATCCCGATGCCAAGATTTTTAGGTTCAACTTATTTATTAAGTGATACACAGTGCTAAATAGACATCTGTCTGATTCAACCCTTTCAAAGCAGAGTATGGACAAAATTAAGGATAGTCCCCATCTTGATGAAAAGAAAATACAAATAAACAACTGATAATGCACTACCCGCGGCCCTCTGAATTTTGAGAGGAAAGGAAATAACAGATTTTTCTTTTTGGTACAAATGTAAATACTAAATAACATGATGTTGGCTAAACAGAGATGAATTACGATGAAAAGAGAGATCCATATGTGTATCATACTTTGCGCAAGGCCACGCTAACGTTTTTTGCACGTTTTAATTTTTTCGTCCACAGAAGACCTACATGGAATAAAGATGACGAGGCAGTCGAGGCTCAACCACAACAGCCAAAGGGATCTTTTTAGGCGTCGAAATTCCAGAAGTTTCCTCCAGGTTCAAATCATCAATGCTCATGTCACTTGGCAACCTCCATTGAAACCCATGCAAGAGATTAGCTAGGTTGGATTGAACGACCTTAAGCCCCAAACTATATCCCATACACATTCTTCTCCCTGACCCAAATGGCAACAACTCATAATGATGGCCCTTGATATCGATATCCTTTCCGAGGAATCTATCCGGGTTAAATTCCTCCGGGTTTTCCCACGATTCCGGGTCTCGCCCTATGGTCCAAGTATTCACAAGGACTTGGGTCCCTTTCTTAATGTCATAACCAGCAACCTTGCAATCTTCCCTAGCGCATCTAGGAACCAGCAATGGTACTACCGGGTGCAGACGCATAGTTTCTTTGATGATAGCTTCTATGTATGGAAGGTTAGGAAGGTCTTTTTCATCCACCCAACGGTTATGCCCGATAACCCGATCCAGTTCTTGGTTTGCCTTATTGAATAATTTTGGGTTCTTTAGAAGTTCAGAAATAGCCCATTCCACTGTCACTGTTGAGCTCTCGGTTCCTCCAACTAGCAAGTCCTGAATCCAAAAAATAAATTTTTTGAAAAAGTTTCATGAATTTAACCATTAATAAAATTCATTGTTTCTCTAAGTATTTGATGCGACAAATTAGAGTATTGAATACAATGAGCACTATTCATGACTCCTACTTCCCAAAGAAAAGAACGAGAACTCCACATCAATGTGAACTAAAAATAGTACAAATCACAAAAACTTAATGAATATATATATATATATATATTTTTGGACACAGAGGGGGGTGATTGACTAAAAATGAGACATGAAAACTAGCTAGTAAAACAACTAAAAAAAGCACTTGTAATACAACTAATCAAGTTTACTGATATTAAAATTATTTGATCAACTTTGGCAATTCACTTGTCATCATCCGCGTGAACATCGTAATTGTATTGTCTTTACAGCCATGAATATTTTGGCCACTTAGGCAATAGTGACATATCACCGACAATTATCATTAATGAAGAAAATGTAAGGAGAAGATACCTGGGTGAAAGCTTTGACTCCATGCCTCTCGAGCTTGACCTCCAAAGTTGGATCATTTGAAAGCTCCAAAAGCACATCAACCATGTCCTTGTGATCATCTGCGTTTTTCTTATTCTCAATATGCTCATCAAGAACGTGCTCCAAAAATCTATCAAATTTCTTGCTAACTTCCTTCATCCTCTTAATATACCCTTGAATATCCACAAAACCCAACCACGGAATCGCATCCCCGAGATAGAACACCCCATTAAGGATAAACCACTCATCCAACATCTTCTTAAACTCTTCTGAGCTAACAACATTAACATTATTGGACTTCTCCTCATCACTGACGAGGTACTTTTTCCCTAACGTCATCCTGCTAATCATGTTTATACTCATCGTCAAGAGATGATCTTTCAGCACCACGGGCTTCCCCGATGATTTGAAAATCTGGAGTAGAAGGTAATTCATTTCCTCCACCCGGATGGGCTTGTAGGATTCGAGTCTTTCTGGGCTGAACAGCTGCATCTGGCAGATTTTCCGGGCTTGACGCCAGTAGGGGCCGTTGGACCACACGATGTCGGAGTAGTTGTAGTTCGTGTATTTCCCCGCGGCGGTTTTGGGCCTCTCGGCGAAGTTGGCGTCCATGGTTTTGAGGAAAACCTTGGCCATCTCCGCGGAGGAGCCCACCACGACGGGGATGGAGCCCAAACGGAGCTGCATTATGGGGCCGTAGTTTGTTGAGAGGTGGTGGAGGGATCGGTGCGGCAATGGTCCGAGGGCGTTTAAGTTGCCGATGATCGGCCATGGTTTTGGGCCGGGTGGAAAGCTGTGGAGTTTCTTCTTGTGGTTGAAGAAGAAGTGTTTAGAGATGAAGAAAAGAAGCAAAGTTGTGAGCCATATAGTGGCATATGGTCCCAAGAACGAAGTGATTTCCATCTTCTCTCAAGAAGAAAAGAAAAAGCCAATTTGAAATGGATTGTATATGTGGTAGTGTAGAACACAATTTTGGATTGTATGTGTGGAAGCGGATTTTGATTATGGTAACTTTTGGTTGCTCTGAGCCTCTTTTTAATAGTGAGTTTGCTACTGGAAGTCAACTATAATTTGTTGAGATCAAATCCGGGCATCGGCATATATAGCAATGATAAAATGTTTTTTAAATAATTTTGGCTCTTGAAAAGAATCTACTTGGTTCCAGTTAAGATTAGTTGGAACAATAATTTGGTATACTTTTTACCTGAAGGCATAATATCAAAAAAGAAAGAATGAATATCATTGTTCATGTTCAAACACAAATATCCTTTTGATGCACATACTGGGAAAATATAGATTTCCGTTTTTTGCTTCAGGCCAGTCGATGACAGGGCATCTCGTAATAGAAAAACTAGGTGTTACACCCGTCCGATGGATGGGGAGAACATGTACATATCCCTTTTACCCTATTAAAGCAGAATACAGGATATTAATGTGGCAATTTCTTATTAAAACTTTTTGGCTCCAAATGCACCATATTGCATTGACCATTCTGCCACGTGTCATCCCCTTTTTAAAAGAAAAAAAATTCTTATCCGGAGAAACAAAAGTCACTTTACAAAAATAGCTACACAATTTTAACTCCTAACATTTATCATTTATCAATCAAATTAAAATAGCATTTAAATTTGTCCATAAACTTATCCCCTTTATTACTCCACATTCTTTTGTATGATTTCTGCATCGTTGTACTTTTCAATATTTTTTTTCCTTTTGCAGATGACTTTTTATTTTTATTTTTATTTTTGGCTAAAAAAAGAAAAAAAACCAAATGTGTAGCTATTTTATTTTTTCCAAATCAAAAATTTATTTATCTATTAACACAAATTTAAAGTAGTGGGGCGCCCAAGCATCTGCCTGGGCCAAGCATCTAGTAGACATTACAACACAAGCAAAATAATAAAAATATCACTATTTCTATGGATTTTGTACTTTTATAAAATGTTAATTATAAATTATATAATTATTTCATTGAAAAATATAAAACACAAACATCAACAACACTTTACAAAATGGTAATAATTTATTTAATGCAAAGAGAATTATTTAAAAAATCTAAAAAAAGGAAATATAGAAAAGAAAAAATAATTAACTTTGAATTGAATGATTATATGTCCTGCAATACTTCTCTGTACGAAATTCATAGTCTTAAATTGACGTTACCACATTCATCGCATATTAGGTTCTTGATTCCTTGTCTCGAAGTGACTATTGATAAGGCGACATATAATTGGTCATGGTTAAAAACTGGACGTGGCAAATAAAATGATTTGTTAATTCAAAGGTGTTAATCGGACGGCCAAATAAACTTAAATGGAAATTATAAAATAGAGATTAATGGATGAAAATTTCTACCAAATACAATATAAATCATAATATAGAGAAAATGAAATTATTCATTATTAGATAAATTTTCAGCATAATGTGGAATGTTGAGAAAGAAAAAAACGCTTTACCCTAGGCATTTCCACATTAATAATATCACTGAAGTTATTTGCATATTTAAATTTGATCTCTCTCAACTTGTTTTTAATAATATCCCACAATTACTTTATAGTGGGTATCTATTTTTTCTTCTTAATGATATTGCAAATTTACCCTAGGCATTTCTTAATGATATTGGGGGTGTCTTTTATGCAAGCCTTTTATATATATTGCAAACGTGATCGAACGGGGGTAGTCCAATGGTATTAAATCTAGATTAGTTTTGTTATTTTGAAAGTAAAATCTTATTAATTATTACTTATATTTATCCTCCTGCGAGATTAAAGAATTTAAAAATATTTATTATATTCCCTTATTTGTCTCGAATCCTATCTTTCTTGTTCTTCTTCCTTAATCTTCTCTTTTTGTTCCCGAAGATGAGAGATGCGAGGGATATCTTATACTTCTCGCGTCTTTTTTGCCGGGATTTTTTTTTAAATTATTTTAGTTTGTTTTTTTTATTTTATTATTTTATTTTGTGCATTTTTAAGTGTAAGAAATTTAAAAAATACCACATAGGATTAAATCCTGTGTGGCATGTGCTCCATGCATTTAGTTTTCTCTCTCTGGTTTTTGCCTTAGTATAGTGTATAGAAGATTATTTTTTTTACCACATTAATAATATGACTAAAGTTATTTGCATATTTAAATTTGATCTCTCTCAACTTCTTTTTAATAATATCCCACAATTACTTTATAGTGGGTATCTATTTTTTTTCTTAATGATATTGTAAATTTACCCTAGGCATTTCTTAATGATATTGAGGGTGTCTTTTATGTAAGCCTTTTATATATGTTGCAAACGTGATCGAACGGGGGTAGTCCAATGGTATTAAATCTAGATTAGTTTTGTTATTTTGAAAGCAAATCTTATTAATTATTACTTATATTTATCCTCCCGCGAGATTAAAGAATTTAAAAATATTTATTATATTTCCTTATTTGTCTCGAATCCTATCTTTCTTGTTCTTCTTCCTTAATCTTCTCTTTTTGTTCCCGAGGATGAGAGATGCGAGGGATACCTTATGCTTCTAGCGTCTTTTTTGCCGGGATTTTTTTTTAAAATTATTTTAGTTGGTTTTTTTTTGTTTTGTTATTTTGTTTTGTGCATTTTTAAGTCTAAGAAATTAAGAAAATGCCACATAAGATTAAATCTTATGTGACATGTGCTCCATGCCTTTAGTTTTCTCTCTCTGGTTTTTGCCTTAGTATAGTATATAGATAGATAGATAGATAGATATAGATAAGTGAAAATTACTTTTTATATTTGTTTTTTAATGGTCGTTGGAGTGCTGCAATTCACATTGCGTCAGTACTTATTTTTCTTTGGGTTCTATGTCATCGTGGGATTTACTGCGAATTAAAGAGGTACCTTCCTTATAATAGTGGGACTATTACATGAGATGGAAATGCGATTCCTTTTTCGCAAAATTATTTTTCAGTTTTGATTTTTATTTTTAATTTAAATTATACTAAAAATGAAAATTTAAAATAGATATTAAAAAATATTTACAATGGACAATAATTTTAGAACACAGAGAGTATTTTTTTTTTAAAAAAGGACAAAAATAAAATTCTCAACCATATTTATTGAGCTTGTAACTTAATTATCAATGGTAATAACACAATAACCAAAAAAAACAAAAAAGCTTACAAATGATAGAACCAATGATTTGTCCTCTAATTTAAATTTATTCAGAGCCCTATATTAATTATATGCATTCATTAAAAACATTAAATTTTAATTTTTATATGCAAGCAACCGATAGAGTGTTCATGATCAGTAACCAAATAAAAAAAAAGACATAAAGTCGCAAGTCGCAGCGAGTAAGTTTGATGCTTTTGTCTCTCAGTTTGGATCACACTTATGAATTGGTCTAAATTAAACTATAAGCTTGTGAAACCTCGTTACAACATTTCCAAAAATATCAATTTTTAGGAAGAGCTGCTAATTTGAGTTTTTTCACCTTTCAAAAAAAATCCTTATTCTTATTTTACTTTAAGACCACCCACATGACTTATGCACATTTTATACCATTTTTTGAATTAATATCACTGACCTAAAGAAAAAACATACTCATCCATGCCAAAAAAATGAACCACGGTATTAAAAAACATACATTTTCTAAACGTTAATTGGGAATTCATCTACTTCATATTTTGGGTGGAAAGCATCAATTTACCCTACCCGACTCATAATAGAGTGATGATTTTTTTGGTGATGAAATATTCCTAGAAATATATCATGTGGCGAATTATAATGCATCTTTCCTTTAACCTGTGTTAATAATTGCTTCACTAAAAGTACATATCAAACTTTTTCCTGGCACCATCAAGATATATAGTGCTACCAGCAATAAATCATTGTGGATGGACTGCCATTGTTTAAGCAAAATGTTTTTTTTTTTTTTTTATAGAAAGAACGGTACTTGTATATTAGCAAAATGTTATTGTTGTGGATAATTTCGTAGTATATAAATTGTCGTTAGCGTGGCAAATCAGGATGAAACTTAACTGTTAGTTATATGACTTACAATATCATATGGTAGGAGATCAGTCACAGTCATCGATCAGCAACTTACATATCCCTACCATTTTGTAGAAATCGTCTATTTTCCTTTTTTTTTTCTCTTTTGAATTTCATTTTAATAACATTTTACATGTGACAGATGTAGCTTAGCTCTCAATTTTAAGTTTGATTATTATATAATAATTGTCAAAATATTGATTAGTGATGGTTGACGGCGTGCTCATTAATTAATTAACTAGTATTATACCCGCACGTTATGCGGGAGTCCGTATCCAGTGCACCGGGTATACCGTATACCCCCACCAAACACACGCACTACACGCGCTCAACATTTTTCATCTTTACATTAAATGCACAAACAAAATTGTTTTCATCCATTTTACTGTTTTCATCCTCACGCACAAACACACACAATTACTGGTTATCCATAATTTATCCACAAGTTGTAAACTGGTTATCCAGAAGGGGTAAACTGGTTATCCAGAAGGGGTAAACTGGTTATCCACAAGTTGTAAACTGGTTATCCACAAGTTGTAAACTGGTTATCCACAAGACGTAAACTGGTTATCCACAAGGCATAAACTGGTTATCCACGAGTTGTAAACTGGTTATCCAGAAGGTGTAAACTAGTTATCCAGAAGGTGCAAACTGGTTATCTACAACTTGTAAACTGGTTATCCATAGGTAAAGAAGTAAATGACATGTTACTTGGGGGGTTTCGCCCTCCATCATAAACTAAACGACTCCCGCGGCTACCGGAATCGCTGGTCAACAACCTGCCCCGGCTGGCCGCCCCGCCGAATACGCCAATTTAGCTAAGGTAATCCTTTTTTCGTGTGTGTGTAAGAAGAGTGTGTTATTGCGTTAAGAGGGGACACAAATTACTTGTATAAATACCCCCGTGATAAACTAAACGACCCGGCTACGCCGACCCCCTGCCGAACACTTTCATAAATAGTATTTAATTGAATGAGGGACATTTTGTCAAATGATTGAGAACAAAAAATGAATGAGGGGCAGTTTGCCAAATGATGTAAATAAGGTTCGTTCAATTGTGTATAACTAATTATCCATATTGTCAATACTAGTTATCCAACTGTGTATAACTAATTATCTATATTGCCAACACTGATTTTCCACATTGTGAACACTGGTTGTCCATAGTGTGTAGCTGGTTATCCATAGTATGCACACTGGTTATCCAGCTATGTTTAACTAGTTATCCATAGTGTGCACACTGGTTATCCAACCATGTTTAACTAGTTATCCATAGTGTACACACTGGTTATCCACAGAAAGTTAAAAAAAAAAAAAAAAGCTGAATTATCTAGCGAGCTTACACTATTCTAAAAGAGTAAAGTACACGCGCAGGGGGGTATACGGTGCCCCCGGATGTACCAGATAATTTGTCCGGTATATCAATTATGGATAAATTTTGAAAAATGGAATATTTTGACGGAGCGATTTGAAATTAGGAAAACATTACATTTTTTTATTTAATCACAAAATATTTTGAATGTCATATCATTCCCATACTAAAAGATTTGTTTACAAAATCAAATTTAATTTTTATCATATTGTACATATTTTGTATCAACCATTGATTAGGGGGTTGTAATTAATTAAATTTTATCCAAATTAAGAATAGCAAGTAGTTCAAATTTCAAATCGTTAATTTCATTAATATCCACACATAATTACGGGGTCACCTTTTTAAAAAAAAAATGATTATCATTACAAATTTCATTATCTGTACAGTAAAATATCGATAAATTAATAATATCGATAAATTAATAATTTTTTCCGGTCCCAAGTCAGGACCAATACAAAAAAACAAAGACAATCGATAAAATAATAAGATAATAATTTTTCAAAAAACTCTTATGTAAATATAGGTCCCGTCGATATCATAAATTAATAATGACTTGAAATAAAAAAAAAATGAGCTAGTAAAATATGAATCTAACGATTTTTATTTTTTCTTGAAATTCATATCTAAAGAAATTATAGATGTTGTGAATTTTTTGCATGATGTATCCAGCCATTGATGAGAGTTTAAAAGATTTCTCATAAAAAATGTCAAATTTCTTTTAATAGAGGCATGTTACGAAAATTTGGTAGGTGAAAATTTTAAGGTGACAGAGTCCAAATTTTAATGCATAGGGGATATAAGAGAAAGGAATATAAATCTTATACAACTAAGCTTAAAAGATTAATAGGATTCTTTAAGATTTTCTTTAAATTAATATTATTAGTTTGTCGATAAATTAATAATTATTAATTTATTAATAAATTAATAATTATTAATTAATCGATAAATTTATACATCGATAAATTAATAATTTTTGGGAGTATTAAGATTACTAATTTATAGATGTTTAATGGTAATATGATAACGGATGAATCGTAGGTTCATGAGACTTTTCATTAATTGTGTGGGATTGGGAATTTTCTCGGAGTAGATCACCTCCACGTTCTCCCGTCCAGATTTATTCTCCAAAATTGATTCATGACTTTGGTACTATTATTTAGATCCTATAAGTTGTAATCCTTTAGTGAAGGGGTCGAAAAAAATTGCCAACAATTGCATGAAACAAAACCCCCCCACTATCGTTAAGTATGAGCCAACCGATGATTACAAAAATCAACAAGTTCAATTAATATTTGCTACGTTTACCGTGGATGAGATAAGAAGTCCATCCAGTGCACCCGGATATATTGTATACCCCCACCAAACACACGCGTTACACGCGCTTAACATTTTTCACCTTTACATTAAATATTGTACTTGCATTTTCTTTTTACTAGATAATCACTATAAAACATTTGGATAATCAGGTGTAACAAATTGGATAACTAGTACAAAGATCCTGGATAACCATTACAAACGGTTGGATATTTCTGGACATTGGCTGGATAACCAGTACAAAAGTCCTGGATAATCAATACAGAGCATTGGATAATCAGTTTACATCTTCTGGATAACCAGTTTATAACTTGTGGATAACCAGTATGACATGTTAATTGTAAAGCCCCCCATGATAAACTAAACGACTCCCGCGGCTACCGGAATCGCAGGTCACCAATCTGCCCCGGCTGCGCCGGCCCGCCGAACACGCCAATGTAGCTAAGGTAATCCTTTTTTCGTGTGTGTGTAAGGAGAGTGTGTTATTGCGTTAAGAGGGGACACAAATTACTTGTATAAATCCCCCGTGATAAACTAAACGACCCGGCTACGCGCGGTGCCGGCGGCTGCGCCCGCCTTTCGCGGCTGTGCCGCCCCCATGCCGAACATAACAAATTTCACAAATAGTATTTAATTGAATGAGAGGAAGTTTGCCAAATGATGGAGAACAAAAAATGAATGAGGGACAGCTGGATAACCAGTGTAAAAATACGGACAAGGATATCCAAGAAAAATATAAAAGGAAAAAAATGAAATTTGGCAACTGGTTATCCAGCTGTGTGTAATTGGTTATCCATAATCTGCACACTGGTTATCCACTATGTTCATACCGGTTATCCAACAGGTTAATAATGGTTATCCAGCTGTGTGTAACTGGTTATCCACAGTGCCAACACTGGTTATCCACATGGTGAACACTGGTTATCCCCACGCGTTTAGAAAAAAAAAGAAAAAGAAGGATAAATTATCTAGCGAATTCACACTATTCTAAGAGAGTAAATTACACGCGCAGGGGGGTATACGGTGCCCCTGGGTGTACCAGATAATTTGTCTGAGATAAGCATCAATTTTAAATTAATTGACACCTTGTGGTATCCGTGAGATTTCAGAATGAGCTGCCATCGTTTTCGTTTCAACTAATCAACCTTATCTTGGGATTTTTTTAATAAATAAATAAATAAATAATCTGGCTTGATTAGCTAGCTGATTCCAAATGATGCCACTGTTTTCTGAGTCAAATTACGAATATTGGGTTTTTTTTTTCTTTCATGGGTAAAGCGAGGAAATATATTAATGATCACAAACAAATTGTTCAGTTGAATAAGTACATCAATACCAATTTGCGTAAACTATGATTTTTCGACTAGTTTCATCTCTCAACATACACATTCACAAAATTCTCCACTTGATTTGCAGCTTAATTTCTTCGAATTCTGCTCATCTCTTCTAGTTCATTAATTGGTATATTTGGAAAAAATATTTGTTCGCTATCATTTTTTTTTTAATAATTGAGGATGCTAAACAGTTTAAAAATGTAATATTCATCCGATATTTTCCTAACATATCTTGCCAAAAAACAATTAAAACGTGAACTAGTTACAGTCAATTGATAGAAATACCTTATTATCAAGCATCTACCTTGATAGTAGCATGAACCCATGAATCCATATGATAACTGATAAGCCTTCTATTCAGTACTAGAAAATCTAAAAATGATTGATCATTTGGACTTTGGAACATCTCAGTTACTTCGAAATCACCCCAAACCAGTAGTCTCAATCGCTTCTAATCAAGCAATTACAATCAGTAGCCTCAATCACTTCAAATCAACCTAGGACATATCATTTGAATCGATTTATTCACTACTGGGCTCAACCAATTCAAAGTGACGTCAGCATTTTTGATGTGCATGCCCATTACACTTCTTAATGGACATTTTCGATCATGGACTGAATTAATAAGATTGGATTATGGGAGACCATTTCAATTAAATTCATTAAGTGGAAGAAAGGATGTGGCCCAGAGTGAAAACCCAATTTGTTCAGTTGTTGAAACAAAGAACGAATTAAAGAATTTAAAGTCGTTTGCTTGGCCAAAGTCCAAACTGATAAGGTGCTTTGGTTCCCGCAAAGGAGGTCTCGAGTTCGAGTCTCGTGAACAGAAAGAGTAATATTCGGAGAGCTTTCCCTCTAAAAGGAGATCGACCCGGCTCTGTGCGGATTAATCTGAATACAATGCACTTAGGACACCGTGCGGAATATGAAAAAAAAAAATTTAAAGTTGTTAAATACTTATAGCGAGATTCGAACCTACTATCGATGTCCTGCAAATATGAAAAAGTTTGTCAAGTTATATGGTTCATGTGGCACAAGGTGCTCTTATTAAAAAAAATTCAAAATTAGCTAGATTCAAATCTTGGGAATTCGACTTGATTTACAGATTGAGGAGAAGAAGCAAATTCATTAATTTTTATTGGAGAAGTAGAGAGTCCAAGTCAAAAGGCAAGAGAAGAATGGATTCTAACAGGAGATACTATTACTACTTTCTTTCATGCAAAAGATGGGGAGAATAAGAAATAAGATTGGGTCCATTTCGAGTAGATCGGATTGGAAATCAGGAAAAATAAAGCATCATTATATTTTCTTCTTCAAACAGCAACTTGGTTAGAAATCAAATAGGAAAATAGCGTCATATCAACAAACTTTCAAACATGGATAGGCTCAGAGTAGACGAACAATTGAAAATGATCAAATTAGTGAAAAGCGGAACATTATAGCAATAACAAGAGTGATGGTTATTGTGGTGGACCAACGATAGCAAATTAGTGACAATACAGTACCTCTTATTGGACCAATAATTAAAAATGGTCATACTTGTGACAAATAAGTTAGTAATCATCTCTATTATTTTATTTAAATTTTCACTTTTAATATAACTTGTATTAGAAGTGTAAATATAAATAAGTAGTTATTTTATAATAAAGGTAGTAATAAGAACTGAAGTGCCTCTTCGGAAAAACAAAAAAAGGAAAAGGAAAAGAAATAAGAACTGAAGTAAGTAAAGTTCTTAAATTCTTCAATTCATGTAGCAGTTTTTAAACAAATAAATTCAATTGTAATTTTTCCAAATTGATATTTAACTTATAATTTTCTTTGTTTTAAATTGATATTTAAGATATGTATGGAAAACAAAAATCAATTGATTAAAAAATTTCCCTTCCCAAGTGATGACATGATAGCAACTGCAGAGTCACAAAGAAAAGAAAACTCGACCACTTTAAATTACAAAAAATCAAAAATAAAAAAAAAAAAATCGTGGCTAATAACCATGGAGTGATCAATTTTTGTTGGCTTGTTTCTTGGGTTTACTTGAATTTAGAAGTAACGGCAGTATCAATTATTAAGTAGAAAATATATATGTAAGGGCCATTAAACATTGGTTATACTTACCACATAGGAGCTTCAGTACAATGATGGGACTGGGCAGGCAGTTTGGAAATTATATCCAAAGCAGCAAAGATATTTTGATGCAACAATAATAAAATTAATTAAAGTGGGGATCCTTTTCTTTGCCATTCCGGCAGCACTCTTTTCTTCTCCCAAAAACAACCAAACAAACCAAGAAAGCAAAAGAAAAAACCCCACGATCATGGAACATGATTATGATCACAATAAACCCCTTGTATCAAAAAAGGGTTGCAATAGTGAAAATTTCGGAAACGTTGTACCAAACATTCCAACGTCTGATGATGAAGGAGATGACGATGGCGAAATCGGGGAAATTAACAACGTCGGCGACTTTTTCAGAGAATTCGGTAAGGAATCGAGAAAGCTTTGGTACTTAGCCGCTCCGTCCATCCTCACCAGTGTTTTCCAATACGCTTTCGGCGCCCTCACTCAGATCTTTTCCGGTCACCTGAGCACCGGTGAACTCGCCGCCATATCCATGGAAACTTCCGTCATTTCTTCACTTGGTTATGGCTTATTGGTACGTAAAGCTTCCTCTGTCCCAAAATGGTTGCCCGCTTTGAAATTTTCCTTGCAGTATAACTTGAACTAAAAATAAAAATCTAAACTGAACAATCATTTTTTCAGCCGACCCTTCCATTAGCGTTGTCTATCAATTACTTTTTTTTTTTTTTAACTTTTTGTGGTGATGTGAGTAGATGGGAATGGGAAGTGCAGTAGAGACCCTTTGTGGACAAGCATACGGAGCAAAACATGTGGATAAGTTAGGAATTTACTTGCAAAAATCATGGATTATACTAAACACAGCCGCGATTGGAATAGTTTTTTACTTCTTATTAACAACTCCGTTGTTAAATTTACTCGGGCAAGATCCAGAACTGTCAGCGCAGGCAGGGAAGTTTGCCGTAATGATGATTCCGCAACAATTTGCATACGCATTTGCTATTCCCTTGGCTAAATTCTTACAAGCGCAGAGCAAAGTGTTTGAGATGGCCGGAATAGCCGGAATTGCTGTTTGTTTCCACGCTCTTGTGGGTTGGATCTTCATGATGAAATTGAGATGGGGGCTTTTTGGAGCGGCTTTGGCGTTGAATTCATCTTGGTGGTTGGTTGCAATTGGTCAGTTCTTATATGTTGTTTGTGGATTTTGTGGACGAGCTTGGTCGGGTTTTTCATGGAAGGCGTTTTCTAATCTTTCTGAATTCGTCAAGTTATCCATTTCATCGGCTATCATGTTCTGGTATGTTTCCTTCCTTACTTTTTTTTTCTCTTTTCTTTAGGAAATATAATTATTATTAAGAAGGGAATAAGTCTTTTTCAACACATCCTAAAGCCGACAAGGTTTTTTATTACTATAGTGTTTTTTTAGCCTTTAAAGTCTAATCTATTTCTTTCCTATTCTTAATTTTGTTTTCTTGTTTTTTGTTTGTTAGTGTTGCTGGCAGATCATGTAATCTGTTGTTACTTATGCACCAATCATCTTGTCCTGTTTGTTCAGATTAGCCAGTCTCATAACCTTTGTTTTCTATTTTTATTGTTGTTTTCAATCATTCAATTAAGTAAAGAAAGAAAAAAAGAAAAAAAGAGACCGGTAATAAAAAAAAAAATTTATATATATATATATAAAGAACTTGTAAGAGGAATATATATCTTACTATATTAGAAACAAAAACCACACTTAAGAGAAAATACCACCATTTGCCATGTGGCATTTCCACATCATATTTTTAAAATAAATTTTTATTTACACATCTCCTAGACTTAAAAGGGAAATGTAGTCCAAATCCACCTCTACCTCATATTTTCACCAAACAAAAACCACACTTAAGAGAAAGTACCACCATTTTAGAACATTTTATAGTCCCACGGTTTAGTAACAACCAATTAGCGCATTGAAAAACAGTACTAATTAACAACTTGGAATGATTCCATCAAATTTCTTAAGGAGATGAACAGTTGACAAATGACATTTTATCGTCGATTGAGTTCTTTTGATCGACCATTCTCAGCTACCAACTTATATTTTCTAATACTCATTAACTCAAATTCAATCTCTCTAATCATGATCTACAATTAATTTAATTTTCCAAGAGAATGAACTTCTTGACTTTGTATCTAATCCGAATGAACTGCTTATTTAATTTTCCATCTACTTATAGCCCATCAAACAAATTCAGCCGTCACAACTCCACAAGCATCATCAAGTCAAAAAAGTGTTCAAAAAAGTTTTAAAAAAAAAACCATTAAAAAAATTGATGTCTATCAGAACAAAAACCACACTTAAGAGAAAGCACCACCATTTGCCATGTGGCATTTTCACATCATATTTTTAAAATAAATTTTTATTTACATATCAGTTTCTTAGACTTAAAAGGCAAATGCAGTCCAAATCCACTACCACCTCCTATTTTCGCCAAAACAAAAAAAAAAAAACGGCTTCATAAAAAATACAAATTCTCATCTCCATCTCCACGACAATCGACTCCCTAATCAATCCCTTCTCCACAATTAAAAAAAAAAAAAACAAATTCCTCATCAATCATCAATTGAGAATATGTGGTGAAATATACTTCTTTCCTATTAGTATGTTCAATCTTTTCATTAGTGATGATCAACTACATCCTAATCAGATAAAATTTCGACTTCAAAAAATATTCTCTTTACCTCTCTATATAAACACAAAGGGAAAAAAAAATCTCGTTGATGTTGCTTTCGGCCGTTGTGGTGGTGCCATTACAGATATTAAAATTTAAATGATTTTATATCCACAGATCATTTGTACGGTTTTTATTATTTTTTGTTTTTCCCGTTCAAGAATAGTGTTATTACTATTATTTTTATGCGTTCACCCGTTACAGCTACCGTAGTCGTTGCCAGGTAATATGATGTGATTTCTTATATGGTTAGTCAGCTTAGAATTTTTGTATAATTTTAGTTCTGTTTGAATTGAATTGATCAATTAGGTTTTTGTCACAAAGTGTGGTTTTTTTAATTTCTTTTTTATGTTTTATTCATTTAGAGTAGTTTACTTTTCTTTTTTTTTAATTATGGAGTCTCAGTTTTTTTCGTATATGGTTAATTATGAATTGTGTTTTTTCTTTGTTTAATTGCTTTTGATTTTGTTTCATACTCCCAGTTGACCAATTATTATTATTATTATTATTATTATTATTATTATTATTTTTGCAAATGAAGCGCGTTTTTTTTTTGTGTTCGGACTTTCAAGAATATACTTTTTTGGATTTGGTTTTTGGACTTTTTAAAATTACTCATCATATAAATATTCAGGTCGCTTCTTCTAACTAATTTATGGGGAAGCCTTTTATGAATTTGAGGTGGAGAGGGAAGGAATGATATTTCTACGTTTATTTTTATTTTATATATCATTTTTACCTACAGGAAAAAGAAATTTCTCAATTTTTAATGGACTCTTTTACGTATTTTTTTTTATTTGCCATGGTGAGGTGAGTTCTTTTTTGCTATAACTTGAAACCTATGCAAATTTACATTAATTTTCATTCTCATATTTGTGATCAACTAGTTTCAACAATTAATCAGTTTCAAAATCATATTTTTGATATTTTATTAGCTATAAGCCTTTGGAAGAAACAGTTCCAACAATTAAACGTATACCCTTCGGAAGAAATTTACTACAAAGCTATTATAAATCTCCAAAACCAAGTATTGATTTGGCACGACAAATGGAGAACATCAATAAATCATCTTACTAATATTTAAACTTATTAAGATGCTTTTATATTTTGTCTAATATTTACTTCAAGAGATATATTTGATCAAGTTTATTTATATTTAATAAGTAACACTTATAAAACATTTCTAAAATATTCAAACATTTCTAAAACCGGGCCAAATACACTTTCTTTTTTTTTGCCAAATACAAACATTTCCATGATCACACTTATAAAACATTTCTAAATTCTTCAAATATTTCTAAAATATATCGAGCCAAATGCAAAATATTTTTTTTTTACAAATACAAACATTTCTAAGATCTACAGATATAATGGGCCAGGGTCGCGCATTGCGCGACCAGACATCACTAGTGTATATATATATATATATATATATATATATATATCTGTAAAAAGTAAAGGACAAAGGAGACTTGACAGTCACGTTTAAACCAACAGTAATCTGATTTAGTTACATGTGGATTTGAACACTATGACATGCTTTTAGGTACTACTAGATGATGTGCGGGGTTTATACATATATATCTATTAAAATATATTTTTAAATTTTAAATGTAGTTAATACAAATAAAGTAACTGGTTTGTAATAATAAATATATGATTAAATTAAATTAGATCGTGATAAATAAAATTGTTATATATATTTTGAAATGACAACATTTTATAAATTGTATGCCAAAAATGTAATTAAATAATAGAATATGTATAAGGATTATATATAAATAAAAGCAAAAAAGACCACCAAAATAATAAATCAGATGTTACATGTCATTTAAATCAAAGCAATTTATGTCTACACGGTTAAAAACGCATGTTAATCAAGATTGCACACAATTAGAGAAAGAGACACCTTACATGTTAAATAAAACATGATCGGAGTGAGGTCGTCGCCGCAAAGATGTTTTGTAAAGTATATAAGATGCTTCGCTTCAGTGTTTCATCGGTTGTCATTATACAAGTTAGAGTTAGACCGAAGTGGGTATTTATAGTGAATGTCTGAATGAGATATCATAACCAGTAACTAAAGTAAAATTCATAACTATGGAATGAAGATGATAACGTCACGTTGATTAAGGGATAAGATTGGTGGGGAAATGATTTCCATTGCATTAATGTTGATTAGTCTTTTTCAATTAAATTTGATTAGTTTTTAATCACTAAAGAATTCCCACTTTCCCGCACGTTGAACTTAGGTTTTAAATCAATCAAGTAGTGATTTTAGGGATTATTTTGTAGAGAGATTTTTTTTATTCGAATTGACTGGGGTAAAAGATCCCGGTGAATTAATGTTGAAAATAATAAATGATTTATCCCTTTGAACTTATAATTTAAATAAATCAATTAATACTAATTGGGGATTATTTTTGAGAGGGATTATTTTTGGGAGGGAATAATTCTGGTGCATTAATGTTCATTAATCCCGTCTATTAAATTTAATTAATTTTTATTTTCTTATTTTAAACTATAGTTTTAAATGCCATTTGATAAAACTTTATTTACATAAAATTTGAAGGACTATTAGTATAATTATTTTAAATATTTTTTGACTCAACCAATAGAAAAACGACACATAGGATTTTATCCTATGTGCCACCTTTAGAATTCTTTTTTGTTTTCTCTCTCTGGTTTCTCTCTTAGTATAATACTATAGATAGAAATTTTATGGATACACCAAGTGTATAAGATGAAATAAGACAGCATAATCACCTTTTATTTCTCACAAAATGCAATTTTACCCACGAATGAAAAGTGTATACACTGGTTAGTTGAAAAAAAAAGAAAAAACTGAAGAAATAGTTTCATGTCTTTGTTCCTTTAAATTCTGTTGTGGCGGAAAGGGTATAAACACAACAAACCACGGAAGCGAACCCCAAAAAAATCTCCTTTCCTACTACCAATAAAATAGGACGACCAACCAAACAAGCAACTAATTCAAGAACTAATAAAGTAAAGTAGACACACAAATTTACGTAGAAACCCAAATCGGGAAAAACCACGGGACTGTAACACAACAGTCAAATCTCGACTATCACAATAATGAAAAAACAGTCTTCACCAACCGGTGGATACACAGGACTTCACCCAAAGGTGGATTACAACAATAATCTTCCACACACACCTAAACCAAAAAATAGGATTGGAAGGATCTCACCAAAAGAGAGTTAAACCGAAAACTAAACCCTAATTTTCTTTCTTTATCTCTTGTACAAAAACAATGCACGGCTGCCCAAACTTTTCTTCTCTTCTTTTCTGGAAAACACAAAAGGACCTTGGCTTTTATAGCCCACGGTCAATGCCTAAAAAAACCAAAACCTAATTGTAAATGGTTTTGTTTTTTTTTTTCTGGCCAAAAAAATCAAAACCAATTTGTTTTTGGTTTCAAACCTTGTTGGGCTAATTGAGGGGAACCGGCCCAACAATCTCCCCCTTAACCTCAATTGGGGGGTAAAACCAAACCCGCTTCCTGTATGTAAAACAGGAGCTTGTCTCTACTCACAGTTTTCGTCAACATATCGGCACCGTTGTCATCCGTATGGATCTTCTCAAGAAACAACGCCTTGAACTCCAATATATCCTGAATCCAATGATATCTCACATCAATATATTTAGACCACGAATGGAATGTGGAATTCTTACCTAAGTGAATAGCGCTCTAGCTATCACAATACACCACATACCTCTCTTGCTTCATGCCAAGCTCTTGTAAAAACTTCTGCAACCAAAGTGATTCCTTACAAGATTCAGTAGCTGCGATAAACTCTGCCTCTGTAGTAGACAAAGAAACACATTTCTACAACCTACTCTGCCATGAAACTACTCCCCCTCCATAAGTCATCAAGTATCCAGATGTAGACTTCCGACCATCAAGGTCACCCGCCATGTCAGCATCTGTATATCAATCTAACATGGTCTTCCCATTGCCAAAGCAAAGACTCAATCTGGAAGTACCCCTAAGATATCTGAGAATCCATTTCATAGCATTCCAATGCTCCTTACCAGGATTGGAAAGAAACCGACTAACAACACCAACTGCATGAGCTATGTCTGGCCTTGTGCAAACCATTGCATACATCAGGCTGCCAACTGCCGAAGCATAAGGAACCTTTTTTATCTCTTCCTTATCTTTCTCACTTTTAGGACACTGCGTTTTGCTTAGCTTAAAATGCCCTGCAAGTGGAGTCGAGACTTCCTTAGCACTGTTCATGTTAAACCTATCAAGAACCTTCTCGATATACTTCTCTTGAGATACCCAAAGCTTCCCATTCTGTCTGTCACGAGAAATCTTCATCCCAAGGATCGGTCTAGCCGGACCCAAATCCTTCATCGCAAAGGATTTATTCAACTCCTTTTTCAACCTGGCAATCTTTGCAGTATCATGACCAACTATCAACATGTCATCGACATAAAGCAAGTGAATTATAAAATCACCATCAGAGAATTTCTTCACAAACACACAGTGATTGGTTGTAGTCCTTTGGTATCTCTGCCCTATCATAAAGGCATCAAACTTCTTGTACCATTGCCTCAGAGCTTGCTTCAACCCATACAAGCTTTTGTTGAGACGGCATACAAGCTTCTCTTTCCCCTTCTCCTGAAATCCATCTGGTTGCTCCATGTAAATCTCTTCTTCCAAATCACCATGTAAGAAGGTTGTCTTCACGCTGTTCAATCTCAAGATTCAAGCTGGCTGCTATCCCAAGCACAACTCGGATCGAAGACATCTTTACAACAGAAGAGAATATCTCATCAAAGTCTACACCCTTTCTCTGATTGAATCCCTTCACAACCAATCTGGCTTTGTATCTCAGTTGTGAGCTGTTCTCAATTGTTTTTAGTCTAAACACCCATTTATTCTTGAGTGCTCTCTTGTCCTTAGGCAGCTTCACCAGGTCATACGTGTTATTCTCATGCAAGGATTTGATCTCATCTTGCATGGCTGCTAACCACTGATCTTTCTGCTCATGACTAAGAACCTCTTTATACGACTCTGGCTCTCCCCCATCAGTAAGCAACAAATACTCATGAGCATTGTACCTATTGGAAGGTTTCTTGGTTGACCTCTTTGGCTGAACAGGAGGTGATGAAACCGGTGGTGTCTCTGTTTCAGTAACAGGATCATCATCAAACTCACCATCCTGCTCTGTCTCAGCTCCCCCTTCAGGAGAATCATCTGATTATGGAGGAACTGGATCTAGATCAACAGGAATCTCAGGTGAAGATTCTGGCATCTCGCCTTTTCCCATATCATCAATGGTATGGTCTTCAAAGAAAATCACATCTCTGCTTCTGAAAACTTTCTTCTCTACAGGATCCCAAAGTCTGTACCCAAAATCATCATTTCCATACCCCAAGAATACACACTGCTTGGATTTGCCATCAAGCTTCGACCTTTCATCTTTGGGAATATGAACAAAGGCACGACAACCAAAAACTCGCAAATGCCTAAATGAGACATCTTTCCCTGTCCAAACTCGTTGTGGTAGATCACCATCCAACGGAACTGAGGGATATAGGTTGATCAAATCAACTGCTGTCTGTGGCTTCACCTTAAAAAGATTTAGGCAGCTTTGCATTCGAGAGCAGACACCTAACTTTTTCGGTAATAGTTCTGTTATTCTTTCTGCCACGCCATTCTGCTGCGGAGTCTTTGGAACACTCTTCTGAAGTTTAATGCCATGGTCTCGGCAATACTTCTCAAACGGACCCCTGTACTCACCACCATTATCTGCTTGAACACACTTCAACTTCTTGCCAGTCTCTCTTTCAACTCTAAGGTGAAAGTCTTTGAACACATCTAATACCTGATCTTTAGATTTCAAAGAAAAACACCAAACCTTTTGAGTATAGTCATAAATGAAAGTAACAAAGTACAATGCTCCACCCAACGACCTATCTTTCATGTAACATACATCTGTATGAACTAACTCTAGAGGACTGGACTTTCTAGATGGAGGAGAATTTTGTAAGGAAACCCTATGTTATTTACCGTAGATACAGACAACACAAGGTTCTAGAGCAGTATCTTTCACCTCTGGGAGAAATTACTTCTTACCAAGAATCTGCAACCCCTTAACACTCATGTGTCCAAGCCTTCTGTGCCAGAGATCAATGGAGGCATTGTGAGTCGCATTCACTCTCCATTCTTCAACTTTGCATTCAACACATACAAAGAGTTCAACTTCTTTCCTCTAGCAATAACAAGATTCCCTCTGGTAATTGTCCAACGGCCACCACCTTTAGTGCTATGATAACCCTCATCATCAAGTTTACCAACGGAAATAAGGTTCAGACGCATATCCGGAACATGTCTGACATTCTTTAAGACAAGAGTACAACCTGTATTCGTTACCAATGATACCTCTCCCATGTTGACAACATCGCATGAGGCTTGGTTGCCCATTCTTACACGACCAAAATCTCAGATGTGTAAGAGGTAAAGAAGTGTCTGTGAGGCATCACCTGATAAGACGCACCTGAATCACCGAACCAATCACTGTCGTGACTCGCAACATTAATTCTATCATCATCATAGTACACAAATATATTATTGGTAGTTACTACTGCAGTAGTGTCATCATCACTTGATTCATCCTTCTTGCCTTTGCCTTTTCTTGCTGCTAGTTCTCTCTTGAGAACCCTGAACTCCCTCTTAAAGTGCCCATTCCCTTGACAATGGTAGCACACGACATCTTTCTACCGTCTTCTGGACTTGTCATTCCGATCACGTGGCCCTCTGCTTTTACTTCTCCCTCTTGAGTCTGATTTTTCTGTCACTAGAGCCTGCGACTCAGACTCAATACTCTGCTCTTTTCTTCTGACTTCTTCATTCATCAAAGCCTCTTTGACCTGATCCAAGGTCAAGACACCATCCTGGGTTGAATTACTGATTGACACTACCAAAGTGTCCCAACTGTCTGGAAGAGAACTAAACAATAACAAAGCCTGCACCTCATCATCCAACTTTAAACCTACATTCACAGTTTGGTTCAACAAACCGTGAAACAAACTCAAGTGCTCATTCATGCTAGCACCATCTTTGTACCTCAACCTGGTAATCTGTTTGCGCAGATGACTTATTGATGCCGGACTTCTTCCAGTACATATTCTGGATTTTCTCCCAAAGTTCATCAGCTTTTGTTTCTCCCGAAAAGTGATGAAACACACTTTGATCAATCCACTGTCGAATATTATCAACAGTCTTCCTGTGCATATCAGCCCACTTTTTATCAGTCATATCACTTGGCCTACCTTCATCCCCTAGAACAGAATCAAACAAATCTTTGCAATACAACAAGTCTTCCATTCTAGGTTTCCACATATGATAATTGGATGAAGTTAATTTAATCATCGTACCAGTACCCGATGACTCTTTCATTTTATTGGTATAACACCTCAACTATCGAACCTGGCTCTGATGCCACTGTTGTGGCGGAAAGGGTATAAACACAACAAACCATGGAAGCAAACCCCAAGAAAATCTCCTCTCCTACTACCAATAAAATAGGACAACCAACCAAACAAGCAACTAATTCAAGAACTGATAAAGTAAAGTAGACACACAAATTTACGTGGAAACCCAAATCGGGAAAAACCACGGGACTGTAACAACAGTCAAATCTCCACTATCACAATAATGGAAAAACAGTCTTCACCAACCAGTGGATATTACAACAATACTCTTCCACACACACCTAAATCACAAAATAGGATTGGAAGAATCTCACCAAAAGAGAGTTAAACCGAAAACTAAAACCCTAGTTTTCTTTCTTTTTCTCTCGTACAAAAACAATGCACGGCTGCCCAAACTTTCCTTCTCTTCTTTTCTGGAAAACACAAAAGGATCTTGGCTTTTATAGCCCACGGTCAATGCCTAAAAAAACCAAAACCTAATTGTAAATGATTTTGTTTTTTTTTTCCGGCCAAAAAAATCAAAACCAATTTGTTTTTGGTTTCAAATCTTGTTGGGCTAATTGAGGGAACCGGCCCAACAAATTCAAACTTTGTTGATCATCTAATAGTAATTTTCTAACCTTTAACCGAAAATTACATGATTATGATAAAAATAAGGAAGCAGAAATCTTGAATTCAGAAAAACCTCTTGTTGGTAAAAACAAAGTTATATTCAAACAACATAAGATTTTGTTATTACTTTATTCTGTTTGTCCCGACATGATTAATGAATTAGGAGCATAATTTTTTTTATGTGATTATTGAGTATTAGGCAGTAAAATGGACAAACTTCTTTTGCAGCTTGGAAATTTGGTATCTCATGGCATTGACTCTCGTTGCTGGATATCTGCCTAATCCGGAGATTTCAGTTGCTGCTTTGTCTATCACGTACGTAAGTTGCCTCTTGATTAGACGAAAATGATAAATATATAAATGATCATGTGAATGAATACAAAACAAAATCCTCAATCGGTAACCTTCTGATTTTTTTGTTTTTGCATGCAATTGTTTATTTCTACTTAATAATCATGAGAGTAAGGAAACAAAAATTTGAGAAAAACGCAAAAAGTTTGAAAATACAGAATGACAACTAAGCAATAATTATATGTTGATTTTAATTAAACCCGTCACTTAATGCTGTATTTTGTGTGCTTTTTGCAGACGAAATATAAACGGCTGGAGTGCTATGGTGGGTTTGGGATTCAATGTAGCTGTAAGGTTAGCTCAGGCTATAATAATGCTTGAGATTTGAGAGTACATGATTACGTTTTCCTATTATTACTTCCTTAGTGTTACTACTATTTCGGTAGTGAAGATCAACAAACCCTTTTTTTTATTCTTTTTATTTATTTCATTGATGTAGTGTGGTAATATTATTTCGCCTAACATATGCAGTGTCCGAGTGTCCAACAAACTCGGGTCAGGGCACCCTAGGGCTGCAAAGTTGTCGGTTATTGTCGTTGGATTGACGGCGTTAGTGTTTGGTCTTATTTTTGCCCTTGTGTTGTTGTTTGAAAGGAAGCGATTTCCGGCATTGTTCACTGATGATTTGGAAATTCAAAAGCTGGTGGAGGACCTCACACCTCTTTTAGGAGCCACCGTTATTTTCAATTGCCTTCAAAATGCCCTATGTGGTAGATATGTATATATATTTGAGAAGGGAATTTGTTTTCAAGACCTTGGTCCCAAATTACATTCAATTGGAAAATAATAAACATTTAACCTCTAATTTATAATGTTGTAGGGGTGGCAATTGGAGCAGGGTGGCAAAATTTTGTGGCCTATATCAATGCGGCTTGCTACTTCTTTTTGGGTGTCCCTGCGAGCGTTATACTGGGCATCAAGTTTGCTATGGGCGTCAAGGTATGCAATGAATTTCATTTCTTGTTGATTTTCCTCATTTGCTCCATATATAAAATTTCGATGCAACGTACGATAGCGTCTTTGACTGAATGATGTCTGTAGTCAATGATCCGAACTTTACAATGATTTTTTATTTGGAAGAGTGGCCAAACAATGTCACTTGAGACATAATTTGTTCTTAAGTTCTTCCTCCGGTCCTTTACTGAATGACACAAGGCATTGTTTTAAAGATCTCATTTGTAAAGCATTTGATGTTTTTGAGATTTAATTCATGGTGTACTTTCAACTTTATGCTTACTTAATTTGACTAAATTTTAATTTAATTGAAGTATTATATTTTTGTCCAAAAAGGTGGTCGCCTTTTTATAATTATTTGTATCTTATATGATGAACCGGACGGAGTATTGAACATTTTTTTTTTTTTTTTTTTTTGGGGTCAGGGCATTTGGTATGGACTGCTTCTGGGGTTATTCCTTCAGGCGGCAACATTATTTGTAGTGGCATGGAAGAGAAACTGGAAGACGGAGGTAATTGCTTAACCAGTTAGTTAACGCTATCTAATCATAATTTTTAAAAGTAATTACTCCATCTGTCCCAAAATTATTGTCTAATTTGATATTTTACTTTCAGTACAATTTGAATTAAAAATGAAAACCTAAACTGGACAATAATTATGGGACGGAGGGAGTAATAGATATGAAAAACTTTGATGAATATATATATATATATATATATATATATATATATATATATACAGTAAAACTAAAGTTGATAATGTCAACGGTTGTCTGGAAAATGCAGGCCAATATTGCTCAGGCGAGACTGAAACAATGGGGAGGTGAAGATTAGCTTAGTTCAAGATAGAAATGGTAAAGGAAACCCATCGAAAATTTGGATCGTAAACCTGTATAACGTTTCGAGTTTATGTTTTTTTTTCAACAAAAGTAAGGTTTCTTATTTAGGAGTAATTCATTGTTGATGATCGACTGGTTGTAATTAAAAAGTTACCTGGGGTAGTTTTGTGATAAGGATGCATTCTAAGTTGAAAACATTCTAATGAGACCATAAAGCAGAACTTATACGGTAAAAGTGAAGTTTAAGGCAACATATTATGGCCTATGCAATTCGCCAAAATATGGAACTCGATGTAGGGAATAGTAGGCAAAAAGGAATAGAAATAAAAACTTAGAATATAGTTATGTATGTAGCTAAGTTTTTATTCAAAGTTCCTTGTAAAGTTTGGGTTTCGTTTGATATAAAAGTATAATTACTTTGATCTCGATCCATTTGTCATTGCATTATTCGCCATCTTACTAATTAACTTATGTTAATCTTGAGCAACAAGACTTTTAGTTTGTTGAGGAATTTGAGTGATGACGAATTTTTTTAATTTGGACATCAGTTACGGAATTTGCGTATATATGTGTGATCTTTGAACTGTTGTCTTTTCATGAGGGTTGTTGGTTTTTTTAACATGAAAGTGTATTTTACAGCCAGTCCCCCTTCTTAATTTGATGCAGTAGTTACCTTTAGTTTAGTTATCAGAATAATTTAGTCATTTTGGTTACATTAATTTTGATTCGTATGAAAATAAATTAGTTTCTAAAGCATAAGATTATGTATGAAATTGGACTATGTTTGTATATCTTTGTTTGGGTGCGTGTGTAACAAGAAGAAGGAATAACAAATGGCGCATTCAAGACTAAGGGTCCAATTGGTTTTGTCATTTCAAAAATGTTATTTAGTTATACCTTAGGTTTTTTTTATCATTTCCAATGTTGTTAGTTTGTTGAAATCATCCGAATGGAATTTATTAAAATACTTTTTCTGTCCCTAATTTGAAAATTGAATTTTTACCCCCATTACTTTGTTACTAAGTTCAAGTATTTTGCAAGATTCAAAACATACTTCATCAAGTATTTATTTTCTAGGAGACTGTTTACAAAGCAATTCATCAGATTCTTGATCCCATATATTTTCAATCACATCTAAACTCGCCTCATTAGTTGTTTCAACGTTCATCAGATTCTTTCCTTTAATCCATTTTTATTGCTATTATTTTATAGTCAGTCCCAAATCCACGATAGTTATCACTGAACAGAAAAGCATTCACACATCTAACGGACGACGGCAGTGAATAAACTTGTTGGGGTTAAACGCCGGCAAAATAATCTCAAAGTACATCGCTTATTACATCATCAATGAAACATTTCATGAAATAAGATGATCCTCCCTCATTCAGAACCGAATGACTCTTTGCTTGCATTTGCTTCACTTTTGTTCTTACTTCACTATCTGGATCCATGGCAAGCCTAATCCCTTGCTCAATCAAATCTGCACTGACACCTTCACAATTCAAATCAAGCGTCGCCCCAAAATGCTTATAGTCCATTTTAATCTCTACAGCCATCTCCAAATCCTTCACCAACAGGAAAGCATTCAACTGCTGCTCGGCGAAAAGAGGCCAAGTTGCGACCGGCACGCCACACCAAACACTTTCAAGAACAGAATTCCATCCACAATGTGAAACAAAGCCTCCCACAGCTGGATGTGACAAAATGGCAGTTTGAGGAGCCCATCCAATTACCTTTCCCACGTCGAAATTGCGCTGTAAAAACCCTTCCGGCAATACCTCTTCAAAATTCTCATACTCCTCAGGGTAACCAAAGTTGCCTAAAGGAGAAGGCTCTCTTAATGACCATATGAACCGGTGGCCAGAACGCTCGAGTGCATCGGCGATTTCTTTCACTTGTTCGCCGCCAAATGCTCCAGCACTTCCAAAACAGAGGAAAACAACAGAGGAATGAGGTTGAAGATCCAGCCATTTCATGATACCCTGATGATAATCCTCAGCTTCTTCTGTCATTCTGCTTATGAATATCATTAACTTTCCGCCCTTTAAGTTTCAGCAAAGGGCCAATTGGATAAACAGGCGGGATGCGATCGTCATTACTCAAAGCCTCAAATGATTGGGTTTCCAACTCTTTGAACGAGTTGACAATGATCCCCTTAGCTCCCCTGAATCTCTTAGCAAGATCCAGAAACATCTTGCTGCCCTCTTCTTTCTCCAGGAACATAGATGGCACTACTTTGATCGGAACCGGATTGATATAAGTTGGAACATCAATCTCGCTTTTGTCCAAAACCTTAAAATCATTAACATCCACACTGTGATCATCTCTCAAACTCTGGAGATGTAACATTAGGCCAAGCATTGAAGCCCCAGAAGTAAAAAACACGTAATTTGGGACCCCAAATTCATTGCCCACATCAAACATGGTTGTGCAGAACATGTCCACAACCATTGCAGCAAGCTCAGAAGTCCCAGAATTGTTTATTTTAGCAAGGATTTCTCGTACATGAGGCTTATGGCTGTCAATAAACTGGAAAAATAACTGGTTACCTGATTCTGACGTTTGTGAAGTATCGGTCACTTCTGGTTTGAGATCAATAAACTTTATCCGAGGGTCCGAGGATCCTATTAAGGATCTCTTGTGGCTTTGGATATTTGTGTCGGAGGGATGATTCATCATCGGGATGGTGATGGAGAGACGATTGTTTTGGGAGATGAGGAGATATGCTACCTCAATAAATGGCGACAGATGGCCTAACCCTGAAACTGGAATGAATACCAACTCTGCCTTTCTGATTTCCGCCATTCCTGATGACAGTAAACTAAACTCTCGAATCAATTGGGCTTCTCACAGGTGTTATTTCAATGTCAAATTATAGATACAAAAAGATAGTTGAAAAAAGGGAAGTGGAATCTTGATCTGGAATTGGAACTATGGAGATGAACATGAGATTGAAGTTATGGCTAACGTGATGTTTGTCTACTTTAATAATAAATTGCAACTACCATGTGCCAATTTTGTCCATACCCTTTGAAATTTTTTTGACATTTGCAGAGAAGATAGCGTGAAAAGTAACCATTCAGTAGATCTCGACTCTTACAAGTAAAAAGAATATTCTAGTTGTATAGAACCTTGAAGTTTTGCTCTTCCCCTACAGTCTTTTTCTTGTTTTTTCTTTCCTCTGCAAAAAGATCATTGGCAATATGCATACAGCATTCACGCAAAATGCAATTTGTTGTATTGGATTTTTCTACAATAAATCATACATAACCATGTATGTATAAGGCTATAAGAATTAGCCAAGTCTCATGAATGCTCTGATAAAGCAGCCGCATGCACGAGGCCACGAGCTATTTTTGTTCAAAACAACGATTCAGTTCTCTAGCCAGTTAGGTATATTTTACTAAGATATCCATATCTAGAAACATGTTATTTTGTAGCTATTTTGCTTCTGTTAAATGAAAGAAAAAAAGAAATGACCTCATGTTCCATTATCTCACATGAATGAATGAAGACTCTTAAACTCAACATATATACCCCATGTGCAACTCCCCTCATTGCCAATTGGCTTTGAGGTGGAACCACATGTGGGCTTATATTTGGGTCTTTCAAGATGGTACCAGAGCGGGTTTTAATCTGCGGACCTGTAGAACATGTGGGGCGAGGTGGACTGACCCAAATTGGGCCTTGAAACTTTGGTCAACTCACGGAAGAAATCCGGGGTTTGACTTTGAACTTTGACTGGTCCGGCAAGCGACGGTTTATCCGAGAAACTAACCGATCGCAGGACTAAAAAAAAAAAATTTAAAAAAAACATAAAAATTACCCGTCCAAGCCCATTGGGCTTGAGAGGGACGTGTTAAATGAAAGAAAAAAAGAAATGACCTCATGTTCCATTGTCCCACATGGATGAATGAAGACTCTTGAACTCAACATATATACCCCATGTGCAACTCCTCTCATTGCCGATTGGTTTTGAGGTGGAACCACATGTGGGCTTATATTTGGGTCTTTCAAGAGCTTCCTTGATCTAATAAATTGTCTGAAGTATTCATTGTTATCTGTGAAATATTGTGTCGGATTGTTGCAAAAGACAATGTGTGATCATGGTAAAGGTTGTTCTCATTCATACACCTTATCCATCATCATTAGTGTAAATTGCATAGTAAATGCCTAGAAACCAAGACTACAACACTGATTCTAATGATTTATGTTATTGCAAAAAAGCAGAAATTTGAAGTATATTTTAGTTGTGTTTGTGCTTTTCCTTTCTCAGAGTTAGAATTGAAGATTGGTTCGAAGAAGAATTAAAATAAATCCAATCTTAGCAATAGCAAAATTTCTCGAGATATTCAAGAACTGTGCATACTGCTACAATTTGCATCTGGGCTTGAACTAGCTTCATGAAGGAACTCCACCATTGAGGTCACTTGTCTACTACCTATCCTGGCTAAAAAAGATAATAATACTAATCACAGAACTGAATCTCATAAATAGATTTAGCAGCAGTGAATGAAACTTGTTTGGTAAAACGCCGGCAAAATAATCTCATGACACACTGCTTATTACATCATCAATGAAACATCTCATGAAAGAATAAGATGATCCTCCCTCATTGAGGGCTAAATGACTCTTTTCTTGCATTTGCTCAACCTTTTTTCTTATTTCACTATCTGGTTCCATAACAAGACTAATCCCTTTCTCAATCAAATCTGCACTAACGTCTCCAGTATTCAACTCAAGTGTCGCCCGAATATGCTTCCTATAGTCCATCTTAATCTCCACAGCCATCTCCAAATCCTTGATTAATAAGAAAGCGTTCACGTGCTGCTCGGAGTAAAGCGGCCAAGTCGTGATCGGCACCCCACACCAAACGCTTTCAAGTGTAGAGTTCCATCCACAATGTGAAACAAAGCCTCCCACTGCCGGATGTGACAAAATGGACGCTTGGGGCGCCTATCCAATAATCTTTCCCACATCCGAATTGCATTGCAAGAACCCTTCTGGCAATACTTCTTCAAGATTCTCGTAGTCCTCAGGGTATGCAAACTCACCTAAATGAGGAGTCTTTCTCAATGACCATAAGAACCGGTAACCGGAATGCTCCAGTGCGTAGGCAATTTCTTAACTTGTTAACCATCAAATGCTCCAGCGCTTCCGAAACAGAGGAAACAAAAAGATGCATCAGGTTGAAGATCCAACCATTTGAAAATACTCTGATCATCATCTTCTTGCCGCTTCTTCTGGCTATCATTACTACTACATTTCTCTCCTTTAAGATTCAACAAAGGTCCAATGGCATAAACAGGAGGAATATTACTGTCCTTACTCAATGCCTCAATGGCTTGGGTCTCCAACTCTTTGAATGAGTTGACTATTATTCCCTTAGCCTCCCTGAACCGCTTAGCCTGATCCAGAAGCACCTTGCTAACTCCTTTGTCCAAAAGTACAGATGGCAAGACTTTGGTCGGAACCGGATTGAAATAAGCCGGAACGTCAATCTCGGTACTGTCATCAGAAACCTTAATATCAGTAACATCCAGATTATGATCATCTCTCAAACTTTGAAGATGCGACATTAGGCCAAGCGCGGAAGCTCCACAAGTTAAAAACAAGTAATGTGGGACTCCAAATTCTTTGGCCACATCAAACATGGATGCACAGAACAAGTCAACAACTTTTCCAGCAAGCTTAGAAGTCTCTGACTTGATCATATCAACAAGGATGTCTCGGACATGAGACTTATGACTGTCAACATATTGGAAAAGAAATTGGTTACCCCCTATTTCTGACGTATTATTACAAGGGTCGGTGACTTTTTCTGGTTTGAGATCAATGTACTTGATCCGAGGATTCTCTAAAGGATTTCTTGTAGCTTAAGATGTTTGTGTCGGAGGGTTGGATCATAATCAGGATTGTGATGGAGAGAAGATTGTTTTGAGTGATGAGGAGATTTGCTAGCTCAACACACGGTGACAAATGGCCTACCCCTGCGGATGGAATGAATACCAGCTCTGCTTTTCTGGGTTCTCCCATTCTTGATGACACTTATTACTGAGTGACCCGATCTGGGTTCTCAAATTGTGTATATCTAAAAGGACAATGGGATCTTGATCTGGAATTGGAAGTTTGGAACTAGGAAGATGAAGATGATGGATTACATGAGTCTTTGTCAACTTTAATAATGAATCGCATTATTGCAGTACCTTGTAATACAGCTTTTTGGGCATATTTGCATTACCACTTTCATATCTTTGATTGATAGACAATCCCATCCTTGATTGATGACTTGATATGCAGTACAAATCAATCACAATCACTCAGGTTTCCAGAACCAGTTTACTCTGTTGTACTAAAGATTCACATGTTAATTTGTAGCAATTATGACATTATAGTATCTAACAAGTTGTCTGAAGTCTAAACCGTTTATGAGTGGAATGTTATCTTGGCATTTATGAAAATATGATAAGATCATGGACAAAGTCAAAAGCTTCTTCTTTACAAATTCATGTCGCAGGCGAATGTATTTCCCATGGACCTCATCTGCTTATTGTGCAATTTCCTTAGAAGATGCTAAAAAAGCACGGAACACTGATTTCAATGATCTTGTTATTTCACAAAACAAGCATAAATTTCGGGTGTTATTTCGGTTTAACAAAGTTGAGATTGAAGATTTGTTGTAGAAGAAATCAGATCAAATCTTATAGAAAAAATTAATTATTAGCAGCTTGAGCCCCGATAGGAGAATTACATCTGAGCTTCAGAAGTAGGTATAATACTGCATCAGTTTGCATCAGGGAAGGATCAAGCTTCTTGAAGGAAGTGACTGATTTGGAGCCTTTGCTACATGACTCATCATTGAAGTCTTTACCCATCTGTTATGTTCTGTACTTTCTATCTATATCCAGGCTAATCATTGGACTGAAACTCATTCGTAGATTCAACAGCAGTGATTTCAACTTGTTTGGTAAAACGTTGGAAAAATCATCTCATATGACATTGCTCATTACATCATCAATAAAAGATCTCATGGAAGAATAAGATGATCCTCCCTCTTTCGGGACAGAATGACTCTTTTCCTGCATTTCCTTCACCTTCTTTCTCACTTCACTATCAGGGTCCATAACAACCCTAATCCCTTTCTCAATCACATCTGCGCTAACATCTTCGCAATTCAAGTTAAGCGTTTGCCAAGTATGTTTCCTATAATCCATTTTAATCTCCACAGCCATCTCCAACTCCTTCACCAACAGAAATGCATTCACCTGCTGCTCAGCATAAAGCGGCCAAGTCGCAACCGGCACCCCACACCAAACACTTTCAAGTGTAGAATTCCATCCACAATGCGAAACAAAGCCTCCCACTGCAGGATGTGCAAGAATGGCAGCTTGTGGTGCCCATCCAATTACCTTTCCAACATCCGAATTGCGCTGCAAAAATCCTTCTGGCAATACTTCTTCAAGATTCTCATAATCCTCAGGGTAACCAAAGTTGTTTGAAGGAGTCGGTTTTCTCAATGACCAAAAGAAACGGTAACCAGAACGCTCGAGAGCATATGCGATTTCGTTCACTTGTTCACCATCAAAGGCTCCTCCACTTCCAAAACAGAGAAACACAACGGAGGATTCAGGTTGAACATCCAGCCATTTCATAATACTCTCATCTTCTTCTTGCTGCTTATTCACTTTCCCTCCTTTAAGATTCAACAAAGGTCCAATTGCATAAACAGGAGGAATATTACTGTCATTACTCAAAGCCTCGATGGCATGTGTTTCCATCTCTTTGAATGTGTTGATTATGATCCCCTTAGCCTCCCTGTATCTCTTCACCTGATCCAGAAACATTTTGCTGCGTCCTTCTTTGTCCAAGAAAATTGATGGCAAAACTTTGGTCGGAACAGGATTGATATAAGTCGGGACATCAAGCGTAGTGCTTTCGTCCGAAACCTTAAAATCAGTCACATCTACATTGTGATCATCCCTCAAGCTTTGCATATGGAACGAAAGACCAAGCATTGAGGCCCCAGATGGGAAAAACACATAAGACGGAATCCCAAATTCATTAGCCACATCAAACATAATTGTGCAGAACATATCCATAACCATGCCACCAAGCTTAAAAATCCCCGAATTGATCATCCCAGAAAGGACTTCCCGGGCATGAGGCTTGTGGCTATCGACAAACTCGGAAAAAGGTTGGTTGGGTTCGCTCTGTTCTGGTTTGAGATCAATATACTTGATCCGAGGATCCGAAGATTCTCTTAAGGATTTCTTGTAGCTGAGGATGTTTGTGTCGGAGGGTCGGGTCATGATCAGAATTGTGATGGAGATATGATTGGTTTGAGTGATGAGGAGCTTTGCAATCTCAACTACTGGCACCAAATGGCCTACCCCTGCAGCTGGAATGAATACCAGCTCTGCTTTCCTCGGTTCCGCCATTAATGCTTGGTGACCTCTACTGATGGGAGATACAGAAAGATCTGGAAAGAAAACCCAGATCGATTCGGGTTCTCAAATGATTTCTACGTTGAACACAGAAGAATAGAGTCATAGACAATAGAAGGAAATAAAAACAAAAAGGAAAAATGAATCTTGACGTTTTGGAAAAAGTAGATGAACATTAAATTTTGAAGTCATTGCTTACGTGGTTTGTCTGTCTAATAATACAGGTAACAAGTATTACAGCACGTATGGTTTTCTTCTAGAAAGAGATCATTAGCAATGTGCTTCTTGCTTTGGACTTTTGGAGCATTTACGCATAATGCAAAATTTATTTTCACTTTGCCTTTTTAAAAAATTTTGGCTTATCCTAATGGCTTTCCAGCAGCTGCTTGATGGTCTTTTTATTGACTAAATGCACACTGTTTCAAAACTGTAAAGACACTATGTGCACATGATATAACTCGAACCTGTGAGTTACTCTTTATTTATTAGAACAACCCATGATTCACGATAACCCATTTATATATGTAACTTATTGCAATGTGAGCAACTTAAAAATAGCACAATATGCCTTCCACATTTGCAAACCCGTGAGTACTATTTGCCATAACAGTTCAAAGATTCTTAATGAAATCTTAAACGAGCAAAGGTAGGAAGGAACTCAACTCAAGCCAAAATACTTGATACTATAAAATACCAAAGACTCAACAATAAGAAGCTGCAGTGTCTCTGAGAACCACAACACCGAATAACAGGCAACTTTCCTCGCTGTAAATTCCGTTTGTGGTGATCCAGGTTACAAAAAGTTTTACAAAGCGAGTATGAGATCATGAGGATAATACAAATTCCATTTTTTCCTAGCTTTTAACAAATGGAGGCAGTCAAAGAAGATGATCATAGTAAGTCTAACATAGCAATCCAGACAATACTCACACACAAGTTTAAACCCAAAAAGACTGTTCTGATATGTTCAAAACACTGATAAATCTTGATACACTGCACGAAGATATTATATATATATATATATATATATATATATATATAGAGAGAGAGAGAGAGAGAGAGAGAGAGAGAGAAAGAGAGAGAAGAGACCAAATCAAGATAAAAACAGATCCATTTACTCGGTTTCTAGTTATTTCTCATCAAGCACTTAAATTCAATTGAGTAAAATGTTAACAGCAATTTCCGATTCTTGTTACAACCAGCAGAGGCACAAGCCTAACAACATTTCCTTTTCTTGCATTCAGGACAAGCAGATCAAATTGTTGACGAGCATCAACAAGAGGTGAAGTAGAGACATACAGCTCTATGCTGATGATGAGCCAGAAGCCCCTAATTTCTTTCACACGCGGGTTGTCCCCTAACTTCTTGGTTGACACTTCTTTAAATGTTGGCCTTTGTTTGATACACTGGCAAGCAAACTAGTTTACCAGATCTTATCCAACACAAGAGCTGCAGCACTATAGACAAGTGTGCTGCCAGCAAAAGTGATACCACCGTGTCCAAACTCTGGCGCTGGCAACCATTTCAGATACTAGGACAGTATCAATAGGGAGACCACACACAAGAGGCTTCACAAGAGTTATCATATCTGGGTATACATCATAACCTTCATGTGCCCAGAGATAAACAGTCCTACCTTAGCCACATGGAACCTAAAAGACACAAAATTACTACGTATGTATTACCATAATGCGTCAGGGGCTTGATTCATCATATTAATAGCATAGGCATTACTAACCCACCATAGAAGAAGATCAATGTACTCACGGATTGGGGAGTTCCACTAAATTTTAAACAAAAAGTTCTATTCTTAAAGCTCTTCCATCCTGTCAAACAACTAACTTTCTATGGCATACTGATCGACATACAGGCGATGACCAGAAAGGCTAAGTTCACATAATTTTTTATATGCAGATTCCCGAATGCACCCATCTGAATAGCAGTAATTAGTAAAGCCTAAGTTGAGTCACAAGGAAAACAGCACAAGTAACAGATAAACGAAGAGCAACCTTTGCATTAATAGAACAGTACATCTAACTTAGCCTCAATTTCCAAATGTTCGCTTTACCTCATGTCACAGGATGCAATGCTTCTCAGAATTCCTTTGTGGGACCATAAATACCACCTGGTACACTCCAGAAACATGGCCAACAATCCTACCACTGTAAACAAGATCCACTGCTGCTTGACTATCACCAGAATGGTAATCTGTAATGTTCCTTGCATGTCAAAGTAAGAGCTCCCAGGGTTCTACAGTGGAAGCAGTTGCTGAAGGCAAAGAACGCCAGTGCCAGTGGCAGCTCCTTTTTAACCAGGATGCGAAGAACTCTGGAAATCCCGAGCAAATTTGATAGCAGCTTCATTCGCTTCTGTTGCAGAATTAGTAAAGAAAACATGATCAGCAAAAGAGCGAGAAACTAAACAGCTTTGCAAACTCTAACTGGAGGAAAAAGAGGATAAAAGATACAGAGTACAAAATCTATACAGCATTTCTATGCATTGCGCATGACTTAAAAGTCAAGAGTAAGCTCCTGGTACACCAAATTGGTGCAAAATTTGAACTCAGATAACCACTGTAACAACCACTTTTGTTTCCACCCAACAAAATGTTTTCTTTTAAACGGAATGGAAATTTTCAACGCACATTAAGGAAAAATCCCAAATTATCGTAACTTGTAGTGAAACACTACAAACAAACCAGATAATTGATCCAAAATTCCCTACAATGTCAAATAAAATCCCATTCCCTATTAGTTCCACCAAAGTCAAAACTCAGACTTACCTTCACCAGAATTCCAACTACGACATTTTCAAAACTGTGTATTAATAGAACATAAAAACCTTTGTACCTAAAGAATAGAGTAGTACATGGTGGTGGCATGGGCATCAGCTTGCTCGACAACCGCCCGCTACTCATCAGGACATCAAGTCCAAATAATCCTCACCCAGAACATCATACTCCCCCTCCGTCCCCAGATTATTGTCCAGTTTGGATTTTCAATGTTAATTCAAATGATACTAAAACTGAAAACCCAAACTCGACCTATAATTCACAACCTTTGCCACGGGACAGCAAAATGGAGACCCATTAATCCTTCATCGATAATCTCCTTCGTTTTTCGCCCAACAAAATTTACCTTCTGGATTACCTTTGATGATGCCGAATCCGGCGAGGTATAGACCAAAGAGCAGAATGAGTCAATGACTGACTAATTGACCTTCGATGAAATTTGGGTAATTACTCACTAACCCAAATTTTTCATTATTTTACAGCGGTCAAACTTTATTTCACTCATTAACCTTTCTTTCTTTTGAAATTTTCGAGAAGTGATTATTATTATGGCTATACTAACTTTATGGAAGGAAAGGGTAAACATTGATAGTATATTTTCCTTGGAACGGTTTGGTAGTGTAAAAGTTGGTACAACAGGGGAAAGAAAATTTCTTGAATATTCTAACCTGCACTTTTAAGGATTACTTAAAGTTCCCCCATTCATTAGTTTGTTTGTGCTCTATGGATGCGTCTAATAGTCATTTGACAGATAGAAACAATAATAGTTAACTCAGTCAGTTAATAATCGTTTTCGTCCCAAAATTATTATTCAATTTAAATTTTCAGTTTTATCATAATTTTTTTTTACGAAATATCTTAATCACGCATGTTATTTTTTTTGTCTCGAAATGATTTTGAGAAAGAAAAAGTCTAATTTTTCCACTATCAACTAAAAAAATGTTCAAGAGGGATTAACCCAAAAAAAATCCATATTTAAATGAATTAGAAATTTGTGAAATATGATATGTGCAATCCTTCACAAATCATTCTTCAAGTTTACCAAGTTTATTTTAAATACACAAATTTGTTCCCTTTTTCTCTCTGTTTCGATGATGTGTGGTGATTTTGATGGCTCATTAAAAGTTATCAAATGAATAAAACGAAGTAATACTCCAAATCTCATCGCACAATCGTAAATTTCCTCTACGCTTGTTTTTTTGGTGGAAATAATCTCATCGATTTAAGTTACTTGTTCAAACGAATTATCGATTAATAATGACTACTACTATTATTATGAATAATGAATTTTTGATAAACCACAAACAAAGTGATGTTCCACATCAAAAAAAAAAAAAAAAAAAAGAGAAAAGAAAAAACTAAGTGATGATCTTTTTGAGTCGTAATAGCACTAAGAAAAGCGTGATTACACGTTTAAAAGTGCAGTTCGGTTCCCGCCAACGTCGTGGTTGTGATGTGAAGACGACGACATCAATTCCCAACCTCCAGAAAAACGATGTCGTCATGTGAAATCACCAGCTTTTCCGGGAAAATCATTAACGCTCACATCACTTTACTACGTGACACGTGGTATAGAGAGCATCATATGGCGCCACGTACCATCTTTCCTCGCCCTTCTGTAACAGCCCCATTCCCTTCAGTACACTCTCATCATCATCATCATCATCATCATCATCATCAATAATAGCTCAAAACTTAGGATTCCTCCGAAGAAGGAAGCAGAAAAAAAGGCAACAAAGCAAATATGAAGAATGGGTTGAATTGAAAAAACCATTTTTGTTATTTTGTGAAAATTAAATCAATCTCCACTGTTAGAAGAAGAACAGGGGAGTCTAGGGGCTAATTCAGCAGTATCAGAATCATCGTCATTCGTCATCATCATTTAATATAGAGATGCAAGTACCAGTGGGATTTCTGGCCAAGCTATGGAGCTTTGTGTCCTTTTTGCCTTTCTTTTTCTTGCTCTTCATCCTTGGTTCTCTCAAAGGTTTCCCCCCTTTTATTTTGTTTTATTTTTTCTCTATTTCTTCTGTTCAGTTTTGTTTTTGGAGGGTTTTAATCTTAACTTTGTACCATTTTGATTGAAATCCAACTAGGCCAGCTAGATAATAGTAAGTCAATCTCTCTAATCAATCAGTTCAAGGTAGGTCGATTATCATTAAACCAGTCATTTGAAAAAAAATGGAGACTCTTTTTCCCCTGTTCTGGTCAATTTAGGTTTCTCTGTAACATGAGCATGACCTTCTTATGTATGGATGTATATATGTAAGTATGTCGTTGTGAGTGTATTCTTTAAATTCCCTGGAAAAGAAAATGTTTCTCCTCTTCCAATTGTGATTCTTTTTCTTTGACCAATGCGTTTGAGCTGTTTTACTCTGGCTGTGTTTGGTTCAATCTGAATGTAGGTGACTTTAATTTGATATCTCGATTTTGTTAATCTAAACTGTTTTTTTTTTATTATTTTATTTTCTTTCTGAACAGGAATCTTGTTTGGTATAATCGTGCTATTCATCATTGTTGTTGGGAACACATCGGTGGTGATTGGACTATGGCCGGCTCATTTTATCTGGACTTATTATTGTGTGGCGAAGTACGTTTGCGTCCCAATTGTTGTTTTCGTTCTCTTTTCTAGTTTCCTACTATCCTAATTTGGTGAGTGATGAGTTGAGTAGTGCTCAGATATCATATATGTTCCTACTCAGGAGCAAAAGGCTGGGATGGATTTTGAAGATTTTGGTGATCATATCACTTCCTGTGCCTCTGATTATATGGCCATTTGTGACGATCATTGGAAGCGTGCTAGGTGGGATAGGATACGGGTACTTTGCTCCCCTGATTGCAACTTTCGAGGCCGTTGGAGAGAATGTCAAAGAGAAGTTATACCACTGTTTTGCTGTGAGTCTATGATACCCTTTTTGGATTGTGCTTGCTCAACTATGTTGGTTGTGATACAGTTTGTTCCGTGTGACTACAATCCTAGAACCAACATAAATGATTGACGTTCCACGAATTATGTTATTTGTAGTAGTTGTAGAGGTATCCTCTTGTGTCTTCTCATTTAATTGTTAAGATTCAGTAATGTTTACTAAAGGTCTGTGCTATTTGAAGGCATGGACTGCATAGCATCTGTTATTTCTAGGTGAACACAGTTTAACTTAGTAGATAGAGAACTGGAAAGGACTTAGCTTTTGCTGAAACGACAGATTTTCCATTCCCGTGGTTTTCCCTTCTATCCTGCCAAAAAATAAGGCTTAATTTTTGCAGAAGATACTCTCTTGCATGTATTATTAGTGTTCGCCGTATTTTTTAACTGAATGTTTAGTGTCTATGGAGCTAATTTGCAGCATAAAATTTTCCTTGAGTCGTATGAGTAGTAGTCTTAAAGACAGTATTTTGATGGTCATAAATGACATGATTACTAGGATGGTACTGTCTCCACAATCAAAGGAAGTTGCACCGCAGTGAGAGACTTTACTGATTTCTGCTTTCACTCATACTTCTCCTACATGGATGAACTTTCTCAGGAAGTACCAGAAGATGAGAAACCGATGGAAATAAAGTAAGATATTCATTGATAAAATTAATCAACTTCTGAAATTGGTAAAAGTTTGAGGAAGTTGCTTGTAAGTAATCCTTTTTCCTGTAATGTACAGGCTGTCAAGACTTCCAGGCTCCCTTTTGGTCTCCATGCTTGCTATTCCAGTTGATGTGCCTGTAATTACCGGCATCGCTATTTGGAAAAGCCCTTTCATGTTGTTGAAGGGATGGAAAAGGCTGTTTGAAGACTTGATTGGACGGGAAGGCCCATTTCTTGAGACTGTATGCGTACCATTTGCTGGGCTTGCTATTCTGCTTTGGCCATTAGCAGTCACAGGATCTGTTGTGGCTGCTTTTCTCTCCAGCTTCTTTCTTGCTCTTTATGGTGGACTTGTTGTACTTCAGGTGCAATTTTTTTATTTTTCTGGAATCACTGCGTTAAAATTAGCTTTTGAGCAAATTCTGACTGGTAGTTGGCTTCCATGATCATGTCCCCCGTTCCCGGGTTGTTTGATCTCGTTTCATGTATATGTCACTGCAGGAAAATTCTTTCAAGATGGGACTTGCATATATAGTTGCTGTTATAGCACTATTTGATGAATATACAAATGATCTACTTTATTTGAGGGAAGGATCATGCTTTCCAAGGTAAAAGCTACGATTTCAACTTCACTCCATACACGACAGGGAGCTGCAGCTCGGATCTAAGATATAGGCTTTTTCTAATATGATTTTTGTTATAGATATCATAAGATGTAGAGTCGCAACATAAATTGTTTAAATGCTGATAAAACAAAAATCTTATGACAGCCAGGCCTCGTTATCGTCGAAACATGAGTAGTAATCCGAATGAGGAAAGGAGGTCGCCAGATAGAATGAATGAGAGAGAAGGCTCAAAACATACCAAACTGGTTTCTGAAGGTTCAAGAACTTTAAAAGAGGCTATTCATCGCTACACGCCTATGCAGGTTTATTACGGCTGTAAGTGGTTTTATACCGATTTTTCTTTGTTGAATGTTGAAATTGACATTGGCCCTGTTGCAGGTGTGGGATTGGCTCTTTAAATCTTGCGAAGTAAATGGTAGACAGCTTCTCCAAGAAGGTTTGATAGATGTAAAAGACATCGAGGCATGCATAGTCAAAGGGAAATGTAAGAAGTTGGGCATCAAGCTTCCTGCATGGTCTATATTGCAGTGCCTTCTTGCATCAGCACATTCAAACTCCTCTGGCTTATTGATCGGTACGTTATTTGTTGAGTGACCATTGAGTTTTGCTAAGCTGTTTGCTTTAATTATTGTGAAGGAAGAAAAGCTAATCTCTTTTTTCCTTGCTGAATTTAGCTGATGGAGTGGAGTTAACAAAGACTAACTGGCCAAGGGACAAACTGTTTGAATGGTTTGTTGGGCCTCTTTTTGTGATGAAGGAGCAGATAAAGGGATTAAAATTGCAGGAAGATGAGGAAATCTGCCTGAAAAAGCTAGTCATGGGCTTCAAGAATGAAAGGCCGGAAGAATGGGACGAAACAGGATTTCCATCCGGTGACCACATCAGGAGAGCACAGTTGCAAGCTGTCATTAGGAGGTTAGTAGTAAAATAAGAAATTTTCAATCAGATTTGCACTTTTGCTTAAATTGTTTGTCTGCATGTAGTTAATGCCTGTCCTGCTCTCCCTGACTGTTGCGCATTGGAGTAGGTAGGGTCTGTGAATAGGAATATTGTTTGCAAGGGCTTTGAATTGAAAATTGGAAGTCAGCTTCCTCAAGTAGTGGTGAACATGTGGTGTGAAAGAGACATATGGAAATCGCATTTGATGTGCATAAGTATTTAGTCAGGAGGACCAATACTAGGATTGTATGTCCTCTTATCAATTTAGCGACTATTCTTTGCTGACTTTCCTTGGAAGGGATTTTGGATTTTTTAGTTGAACAAAAGTTAAATTGTTGAAATTGGGTGGAAAAGTGGGGAGGGTTGCTACTGAGAGTTCCTTAGAACGGGCCTGCCTTCTTGTCTTTATGTCATTGTCCAATGTGTTTCCCTTCAATTAGAATCCTATCTTGTTGTTTTTATGTCATTGTTCATCAATGATCTTAGACCAATGTTTTAGTTCTATCCGTTCATATACATTGTTGAACGGCTTCAATTGCTTGTTTTGATTATTCCATCTACAAGTTCACCCCGTGTGTGTGTGTTAAAGAGTTGAAACTTTTCCTCTCGGACTTAAAATTATCTATGATCTTGGCCAGGTTGGAAGGAATTGTAGGTTCTTTATCCCGGTACCCAACATTCAGGAGGCGATTTAAAAACTTGGTTAAGGTGTTGTATATAGAGGCTTTGCAGACCGGACTTTTGGTAGAGCATGTTGTAGAGAAGTCATCAAACTCAAGACAAAGTAAGAAGTCGGTTGGCGGAATGGGTGTTAAAAGGGCAGAGAAAAACCAGCAGTACCTGCCACGTGACAACTTGAACAACGTGTGATGGTGATTCATGTTTTGCTCTCTGCACTCTTATGGCATAGTGTCTTAATCCTCACGACTAGTTGTTTGATCAGATGGAAATTTTAGGTGTGTATGTAGCAGAACGTTGGGGTGGAGTTATCGCTGTAAAAAATGCTGCGGTGTATATGTATGTAGTCTTGTCATTTAGATATCATATAAGATGAGCAAGAATAATTTGGAGTGTCCAGGGGGTAGTAATTCAGAAACACAATCGAGATGGGATCGGATTATATAAAATGACACTGTTTACAGTGATGTGTATGAACATATTATGATTCATCTAAAGGTATTACAGCAAATTTTGACTCGCGGAGGTGTAAAAATTCTCAACTATTCAATCCGGTTAGCATCTGGCTGGCAAACTAAGATCTGTTACAAGAAGAAAAGGATGCATCCGCAGAAGACACGTCTGATTTCATCTCTACTGATTTCCGGTTGCGGAGAAGCATTATGAACAGCCACCGTACACGGCAGAACAGCTCTCCAACTTTGCGCTGCAAACTTCAGAGCAGATTAAAGCAGCCGGAGCCGCAACAGACTCGCAAGTCTGCAAACAAGAGAAGTAGTTTTCCATGCATCTGTCGCAACAACAATAGAGTGGTTCGGGTGTAGCCAATACTAGTGATCCATGAAAGAGCACGAGCAAAGTAAATATCGCCGCCATGACGGAATTCTTCAACCACCCAACCTGATCAGCCATTTACAGGGAGCATGAAACAGTTTTGCTTTGTAGTGTCTTTTTTGGTCCAAGCCTTTGGAGTTTCGGGTTATGTAGGCTGTTTAGGAACATGGTTGAGCCTCTAATCTGAATTAAACAATAATTAAAATACAGTAGAATTAACAACTGTAACAACAATAAAGATGACAGCTACCCTTGTTGATTAAGTCGCTAGCTCGTGGATTATTTAATAAAATTGTTGTCAACACTAATTGCGAGCGAATCAAATCCAAGTCAAACTTGGATTGCAAAGCTAGATCAGTCGCTAAACAAATTCATTTGGATCACATATGGCTTTAAGTCTAACCTAATTATTCATCTATTACAAGTAAAAAAGTATTTGCTGAAGATATGGTAATCTTCGCGTATTGGTGTGGCAAATAATAAGTAGCTAGCTAGCCGGACTGATCTTGTTTTCACATGAACAAAGTCATTTTCAATTTTTTTTTTTTTTCAATGACACATGGTAAGTAACCAATTGTATGATATTGCACGTAGTTGCATATCTTTGCCAAAGACCTTGAGTAATTTATTTGGTACTTAGTTCGTTTAATCGATGATACATAATTTCGTCAAATTCACATACTTCTGGTTAAAAGTGAGAAATTGTGATGACTTTCTATAATGTAAACATTGAAACACAAATTTGAGACGTGGTTGCTCGTATTCTCCACACAAATGTGATCCCTCTTACTGATGAACAAATATGTTTGGAAACATGGCTTTTCTATCGTGGAATTAGACCATTAGTCTCAACTTGTCTAAGTCGAAAGAGTATGAAATAATTAGAGCAAAACATTTCCTCCTTTTATTCCTGTAAATAAGTTTCATTCTCTGACTGTTTTATGGATTGTTATCTCAGTTATAATATAAAGCACTTAGGTACACATTGCAATGTGTACCTAGTGTGCAACTCACGTGCCTAAATACCAAGAAAATTCACCTAATTACAAGAATGTCATTCGAGTAAAATACACGCACTCATTTAATCCCACATTCCGCGCGACGTTTGGAATTTTAATACCACCGTTTCCTTCTAATTTCCGGCCATTATCATTATCCAACTTCCTATCTCATCAATTCCAATCCGCATCAAACTAGAAGGATTTTCAAAACCAAAAAATCATCCTTGCTGCGAGAATCCTCACACCGGAACGCCAGAATCGCCATCATCAAACCTTAGTTTTCGTTATCACGCCGGCAGCGATATCAAATTCATTTTATTCATCAAGAATCTGAATTTTTTAATCTAGTAACTTATACAACATGAGGATTCGGGTAATAAATCATCTTATTCACTCTTTTTTTTTTTTTTTCTGGTTTTGTACTTTTTGGGTTTGTTCACGAAACGGGTTTGTTCATTAATTTTCACATATTGTGTAGAAGGATATAATTATCAATCCTCATATGGAGAAAGCTCTGCAAAATCCCAGATGGGAACTAGGTAATCACTTCAATTCTTGTTTTCTGGTGGTGGGTTTGCAGATCTAAGGTTTGACATTCATTATTGTATGATTGTTCATCGAATATGATGTTGTTGTTCAACAACTATTCGTCATTGTTACATGGATATTGAGTTTTTTTACAAAGAAAATTATTTTTTCATACATATTCATGTGTTTTGTGCTGTTATTCATTTAATTAAAAATCGTTATTCATTTGTTTCTAAAAAAGTTTACAATTTTGATGAATGAACAATGATAATATGTGGTTATTCATCAACTATGATATTGTTGTTCATCTAATATTAATTCTTATCGAATTGTTGATGTCATTTCTGTCCATTGTTCATCATTGGTGTAATGATTATTTATTACTGCATCAGTATTGCATATGTGAAAGCTGCACATCCATATGCTTGTTCATCAATTTTTGTTTTGTTGTCAATCAGATAGAGCTCGTTATTTATGGTTATTACTCAAATGAATTGTTGTTATTCATTAAGTGATAATGTGTTACCCATTAGTTTACTAAAATTATAATTTCTTGACATAATGCAGCAGTAGGATATGGGGAAGCAACTGGACGTTGCAGCAAGTAGAGTTAGTGGATATCAAAAAATACCATCACATATTAGTGTTGAAGTGGAGATAGAGTCACCTGTAAGAAAAAAAAAAGAGGAATACATGACACAAGCATTAGAAAAAGGTAATATTACCATTTTCGAAATGATTATTCATCTTCAATAGTACTGTTATTGATGATTAACATAGTTTTTGATTGAATGTGAAATCTCACTTATTGTAATGTTCTTTTTGTTTGATCAGCGAAAAAGAAATGCTCATCAAGATGAACTCGATCAGCCGGGAATCAAATATTTGGCAGAGTTGCTGAAATCAAACAATCAACATATAGGTGTTGAGTATCGGCGCATCATTGAAGACCGTATATGTTAAAAATAATGACTGGTGTTATTAATACTGTAAAATAGTGTTATTCATCTTGTAAATATATGTCATTTATCGTTTGAACATGTGTTATTATTCCATAGACATATGTATTCATCATGCAAATATATATCTATTCTTCATTTTAGTATTGTTATTCATCTTGGATGTGATCATTATTCATCAACATTTGCTTCGTTATTCATCATTGTAGATATTTATATTCATTTCAAATTTTTAAATTTATTTATCCATAACTTTATCGCTATAAAAATACCATTATTCATCCACAATATTATCATTATTCATCGAACAAATATATTATCATTATTCATCCACAATATTTATCCTTATTCATCGAACAAAATACTATTATTCATCCACAATATTAGCATACTATTATTTATCTGAACAAACATCGTTATATATAAAAATCTTCAATATTTGACGCTTAATTCTCTAAATTCCGTTGATAATCAGTTCAAATTTGTTGCTCCAATTGATTCTTCGGATTCATAAGTCTCAATGATGAATCATATTCAATTTTACCCAAATTAAATCCATAGCTATAAAAAAAAATTCTCATAAAATAAAATAATATGAAAGATAATAGGATAAGCAAAAAAGAAAACGGTTTAAAATTAAATGCGTGAGAAAAAAATAGGATGAAATTTGGAGGATTTAATGCACGTATAACTGAAAATTAGGAAAAAAATAAACCAAGTTGTGTAGAAAGAGAGTGTATTACACATGTCCATGAGGTACATCTTGCAAAGTATACCTAGGTGCTTGTTATTATTTGACTAAATTATTGTTCCCCGGCCTTAATTACAAGGCACAAAATTTGAAGTAAATTAGTATTAATTCGTGACTTATACTATAATTAGAATCGGAGTGGAACTATAAAAGCCTTTTCAGATTTTCCCATGAGCACTCACAAATTTATGCTGATAACATGGTCGCCAGTTGTCTTCATTCTCAAGGTTAACACATTTTTTTTCCCTTAATATAGTGAGATGAATGCTTGTTATTTTATACGGCGATATTATTTGATACCAATCAATATCATATAGGAGACTTAACTATGAAATTGAAACGGATTTAAAATCTACATTAAGAATTATTTTGTCTACAAATTCTATGTCCTTGGACTAATATGGTCGCGATGAGTGGTTTCAATTTATATCTCCATCCTCACTTGTTCTGATTAAGTAGAGACATTGCCATTGATGCATTGGACAAGCAGAACACACATTGAGGAATTGGAAGAGAAGGGATGTCTTGTTTTGTACGATGTGGATGTGTATACCATGAATAAGCATCCTGATCTCAAGGATATCAAGTTTGATGTTATAGTTTTCAACTTCCCACACGCAGGCCATTACTCTTGGTTATGTGAAAGAGACGCGATCCTTATTGAGTAAGTGTGACATCCCTTCATCCCAAATATTACCTCTGTCCTAAATTATTGTCCAATTTGAATTTTCATTTTTAATTCACATTGTATTAAAATAAGAATCCAAACAGGAAAATAATTTTGGAAAAGAGAGAGTAAGAATTTTGTTGATTGAGTTAAAATAATACAAGAAAAATGACCCTATTAATTCTATGACAAACATTGAAATTTTTTGTTCATGATGACCTGTTTAATTTACATTATTTTGGGCGAGGTTTCAACAAGTTAATGGGATGGAGAAAAAAATTGCAGAAAGCACAAAAATTTGGTGAGTGCATACTTCAAAACTGCAAAACAATTGCTGCAAGGAGGAGGAGAAATTCATGTCACAACAAGGGATGACGAGCCTTACAACACATGGGAGGTTGAGAAGCTTGCAATAAACGAGGGTTTTAAGCCTGAAAGAGAAGGTTGAGTTCATACAAGGAAAATATCCAGGGTACCATAACAAGAGAGGAGGCAATATCCAAAGCAACAAGAAGTTCCCCCTTAATTATCAATGTTACACTTACAAGTTCATTTTGAAGAAGAGTGACATTCTGGAAATCAGCCATCAACATGGTAGCAATGATAGCGAAGATAGTGACAGTGGCAGTGGCGATGTGTGCAAAGCTGGTGACAATGGCAGTTGCAGTGTTGGGGATGCTAGTGACTATGGCAGTGGCGAAGTTGGCGAAGCTAGTAACAATGGCAGAGGCGAAGTTGGCGAAGCTAGTCAGAATGGCAGTGGCGATGTTGTTGGTGAAGCTAGTAACCATGTCAGTGCCTTGGCAAAGCTAGCGTTGGTGACAATGGCAGTGGCAATGTAGGCGACACTAGTGACAATGGCAGTACGATAGCGAAGTGAATTGCATTAGAACTGCATATTTTATAATTGGTTGAAAACATAATACGGTCATTATCAACTATCTACCTAATTTTGAGATTAAGGTTTGTTCCTTCACACCCACTTTTTCTAATACCATCACTTTCTAATAATCACTAACCAAATTTCTCAAATTTGAAATAACGGAAAACAGAAAAGACTAGGAACATTCAACGCTTATTTCGGTACTCCAAAAACAAAGAAGTTCAGCTAGAATATACAATAACTAGCATTATTGTTTTACAACATCATCAACTCAAACACACTCTAAACAGACATCATTAACAATAACTGTACAAGCATACAATCCCCACGTCCCAACGGATATCAGATGAACTCAGCTGCCAGCAACAGTCCGTTGTGAAGCATTTCCATGGGCTCTGGAATTCGAGACACTTTCCAAGAGGTGATGAGACGCTTTCTCAAAATTCACGAATCCCGTAAACCAGAAATCGTGTCCATCAACGGTCACAAGTTGTATGTATTTCTCCGGCGGATTATCCTTCATGACTACAGGGTTCACATTTGCAATGTTTGCCAAAGGAACCGAAACCTGTCAAACACCTCTACTCGTGTGAGAAACTAAACACTTAGGATTCCAGAACAAAGATATGATGCATTATTATCACAGTTGTTGACTTATCTTTTGACATATATATACAGTCAATCTAGAAGGGTTCTTCTAGTATACAAATTAATCAGGCTAAGGCAGCCGGCACCTCAATTTTCGGCTTTTTCCTAAGGAGTTTAGGCATCTCAATGACTTGATCCATAATTAACTTCAACAGAACCAAATCATCCAAAACATAATCACGATAAGCATTGACTTGGTACCAGCAGAATACTCCACTTAGACTAAGAAAATTAAACTCAAATATCTTTAATGTGCATTAGTATGACATTTACCTTGTAGTAACTCCAAGTCTCTTGTCCAGATGGAGCTCTGAATGACAAGGGACGGTCACTGCAGAAGCCCACTCTAACAGTAGACAGATAAAGAGTTCCAGCAACAGGACCTGTTGTAGTAGAAAGGTAACAAGCAAAGGTCTTCTTCAACCTTTCATTGGGATCTGTTGCAAAAATCTGCCTGAAAAGAGACTCAAAACCCCCTTCCGTCAAGGCTTTTGCTGTCAAATTAAGTTTTCCCCAGGCAGCTCCTGAAACTGATGGCCCTGTACTCACTGCGAATACACATCCAAACAATAGATTCAACAACAAAAATCACATTTTTTAACCATGTTTTTGAATAATTTTTTGCGAAAATTAGTGAATCAACTGCATTCATTAGTTGCTACTCCCTTTGTCCCAAAAGTTACCCAACCTTGTTGGATGGAGTGTTCTTTCTAGGGCAGGGAATATAATAATCAAATTTGCAAACAACGATCTATTGTGACATGAATAATCAGCTCAACTCTTCAGGTAATAATAATCGATTAAAACTTCATCCTGTTTTTACACGAATTCCATATAGTATTAATCGGAAGATAGAAACTGATTTGAGAGAGAATTATTCGAGCTCACTTCTGGCAACTTTGCTCTTCTAATTTGCTAAATATCTTCCCCAGAAGGTTTATAAATATTGTAAACAACAAACCAAAATACTTAATATCATTATAACAAACCCGCTAATTATCCCATCACTGACATCAACTATCCTAATGTTTCAATGCACCTTCACTGAAACTGTCCAATTAAAAGACAAACTTTCACCCACAAATCTAATATTTTCCAACTACTGAAAAACATAGTAGTCTTTCATTAGCATCGTTCTAATTCTATGGTTGAATAGAACAGAGAATTCCCACCTCTTTTCCTTAATCAAACAAGAACAAAGAAACAAAATTACAGGACAGAATCAATCACAAATTCGTAGCATGAAATGAAGAAAGAAAATCAGTAAAGCCAAATCAACTAAAATACTAAACCCAACGAGAAAAAAACAAAAAAAGAAAAGAATTGTGCCTTTTTAGTTCATACTATGAACTTACGATTATGCCAAATGTTCCTAGCCACAGTCTCAGCTCGATTACTCCAGTTATTGAACATATGAACAACGGATTCAAAAGGGCTATCACTGGGCTTCTCAACAGGGGAGAAAACAACATAAGGGTGTTGCTGATTGAACCTCTGCTGCTGATCTTCAGCCCTCCAAGAGGCAGCCCTTTGATTGTCTGGATGACTATTCGGTGATGCGGGCTGACCCATTATGTGTGTGCCCCACTTGGCCGGATCCTGATCACCTGGCTGCTGCTCCGCCGCCGTTGGAGGTGGCGGCGATGGCTGCTGCTGCGGGGGATGGTTTTCACCGTTACCGGACGAATGATGACTCATTGCTTATAGATAGCAGGAATCAAAGATTAAAACAAAAAGGGGAAAGCTTTTTTTCACTTTGTTGTAAAGTTGGAATTGGAATATTCGGTTCTTTGTATCGCTAATTGCTGAAAATTGGAGGGAGCTTTGTTTATTTATGGAAGTTCGGAGAGATTCGAAGAATTCGAGTCAAACTCAATCGAAAGACCAGTTTACGCGTACTCTTTGCTTATGATATAAGATTTGTGTTGGATCATGAATGGTCTTGATGACTCTAGAACATGGTGATTTGTAAAAGATTTTGATTAACTTATGTATGGATAATATACAGTTCCATTAATAAAACATTAATTAATGCAATCCATTTAGTAACAAACTTGGATAGCCACTAGTAGGACACGAGACACACATTAGTTATTACTCCCTCCATTCCAAAATAAATGTCATTCTACATTTTGCACATAGTTTAAGAAATTCTTAAATAGGGTAATAAAATTACTTGAATATCCTCAACCAACCCCATTATAAAATTGTCCACCAATAGCATCAACTCTTTTGAGGGTAATTTTGGAAGCTTTTGACAAAAAGTGCATTGAAATGTGAGAACGACACTTATTTAGGAATTTCTCCATTTTGTTAAAACGACACTTATTTTGGAATGGAGGGTGTACCGCATTTTCAAAAAAAAAAAAAAAACACGTGTTATTACCATTCTATTAGATTGTGTGAAAATTTTAACATTTGTGTTTTTTCATTTTGCATTCATTTCATTGTTTTAGTTTTCTAAGGGCTTGTTTGATAATTTAAATTATTGCTTAAAATTATTGGTTTAAGTAATTTTTAAAATATGAACGTTTGATAACCAAAAAGTGGGTCACTTATTTAATTAAGTACTACTTAAACTACAGTACAAATTTTAAAATAGTGGCGAAAATCCTGACAAATAGATTGACAGAAGGTAGTCAACGGGGTGGTGGCGAAAAATCAGGCAGCCTTCGCACAGGGAAGAATCATCACTGAAAATGCTTTTATAGCTCATGAGATTATAGAGCATATCAGGCAAAGGAAGAAGGGAGTGAGAAGCCTCTTGGCACTAAAGTTAGATATGAGTAAAACATACGACATGGTGTCCTGAGAATTTTTGGAAAAGGTGATGGAAACAATGAGCTTTCCCCAAAAGTGGAGAGGTTGGGTTATGTAGTGTGTAACCACGATTAGGATGGCGGTGTCATTCAATGGAGAGCTTACATAGGAGTTCAGACCAAACAAAGGACTCAGGCAGGGGTGCCCTCTTTCACCCTTCTTGTTTATTTTATTCAACAGGCTCTCTCAGCAATGTTGAATGGGCGAAGGTTCATGAGTATTGGGAAGGGAATGAGAGTTTCCAGGGAAGCACCAGCAGTTTCTCATTTGATGTTTGCTGATGATTGTATAATTTTTATGGAAAACTCATTCCAAGGAGTGATGGAGTTGGCTGAAGTGCTTACGACGTTTATGGAATACGGCGGGCAAAGGATTAATTTCTCAAAGTCATCTTTCATGCTTAGCCCGAATACAGATGCTTCTTTTGGGACCTACCTCTCAGTTATGTTTAATGTGAACAAAAGACTGTTGGATGGGAAGTACCTGGATTTTGATTTAGACTTCGGAAGAGGAAAGGCGATGGTCTTTGATGACCTAGCAAGGAGGATCAAAGCGAAGGTAAAGATTTGGAAAGTGGAGGAACATGTCCATTATGGGGAGGGTCACGTTGGCTAAGCACGTTTAGGGGGTCAATTTCAACATATGTGATGGGAGCATTTCGTCTTCCGACATCAACGGCCACAAAAATTGATCAGTTCATGGCGAGAATTATATGGAAAGGAGATGTAGAAGGACGAGACATACATTGGAAGGCATGGAAGGATATTTGTAGGTCAAAGTGGAGGGGTGGCTTGGGAATGCGCAAGGCAAGTGAATTAAATAGAGCGTTATTGGGGGAGCTGGCTTGGAAAATTGGAACCGAGGAAAATTCCCTCTTCGCGCGAGTATTTAGAGCAAAATACTGTAGGAGGGAGGATTTCAGGAGGGTCACGGGTAAGGATGTTGCATCTTGCGGCCGGAAAGAAATATTATGGGGAAGGGACTTGATCAAGCGGGAAGTAAAATGGAGAGTGGGGAGTGGGCGGAGTCTGGCAATCAACCAAGAATGGATTCCGGGGGTTCGAAATCCGCTGGCAGCCAGTTTGCTAGGGAGGTGGGAGTCCAATTTGAAAGTATCTGACTTGATCCAGGGTCCAGGCTGGTGGAATGTGCAACTAATTAGGGCGATTTTCCTGAAGGAAGTTATCCCAAATATATTAGCTATACATGTAGGACATGGATATGAGGAGGCTTTGGATGAACCATACTGGGAAATGTCCCCCAGAGGGATATTTACGGTAAAGTCTGCGTACCATCTGGCGATGAATTTTGGAAACGATGGACTGCCCTCAGCATCAATACCCAGAGATCCACAGGTGGGAGAGGCCTATTGGAAGATGTTGTGGGCCCTTCAGATACCACAGAAGGTGAAGTTTTTTCTCTGGTGAGTATCGGTGGGGGCATGCTCAATGACGAAGGAACTCTGGAAATGTGGAAATATCCGTCCACTGGTTTGCCCCAGGTGTGGTAGCCACGAAGAGATAGTAGAGCATATGCTTCTAGAATGTGTTGAAGTACAGGTGGTTTGGCGGAGGATAGTTTTGGGTTTCGATTTTTTGAGGGAATCTCCATGCATGTTCACGGAATGGTTTGAGCGATGGCTTAGAGAGGCACCTACGGAGGAAGACAGAAGACTGTCAACTTGCACATTGTGGAACATCTGGGTTGCAAGGTGCAAGAAGGTGTGGAACGAGGAAGTTTGGCCACCGGATAGGACTCTGGAGAAAATACAACAGATGATGCAGACGATAAATGTTCTTTCGGAAAAAGGACATAGAGTATCAGCTTCCCGGGAGATGGTGGTTGCGCAAGAGAATGAATACCATGAGCTATGGCTAAAAGGTGATCCAGCAGATCTAGGGACATATGGAGGAACTGGAAGGCTGATGCATTTTGAAGTAGACGGATTGTTTCGGAAGGAGAGTAGGAAGGCTGGGTATGGAGTGGTTGTGAAGGATGCTGATGGGAAGGTATTACTCACAAAGGCTGGGATCTGTGGTGCAATAGAGCCAGCACAAGCTGAATTAACAGCAATATGGAAGGTGGTAGTGTTAGAATCTTCGTATGGTTGGACTCAGGTACAAATCCTAACAGACATCACTAAGGTCATACAGATGTTGAACGGAGTGGAAAACGTTCCTCCATAGTTCTCGGGCCTCAAGGATAATATCCTTAGTATAGTGCAATGTATGCATATATGTCTAGTATCGAAAGTAGATAGAAGTAGGGTGGAAGCGGCGAACGATCACAGCTAGGAATGTAACAATGCACTAATTTTCTTAATAATAATGATATATATTTCAAAAAACAGTACAAATTTTAAGCAGTAAAATCTAACTTAATGTTTATTGCTAATTACTCTCATCCATGTTATTTTTAATTCTTTATTATTGAATTCTAACATTATCCATGAATATTTTATTATTCAATACACTATTTAATATTCTTTAAATATTTTAATGGTTAACTTTGATTAAATAAAGTCTCGTTGTTTTCACCCGTAAAAATCTTAATTTATTTCATTATGTGTTTGGTTTTTTCTCTTTTAATTTATTTTCAAAGATATAAAAATTTAATACTTTATAATTTGGCCCATTCATTATATTAAGAAAAATGCCATGCGCATTTTAGTTTCCATTTTACAATATATAATAATTTTATAGTATGTATTTTATGAATAATGAACATAATTACTGCATAGTTATGGAAAAAAAATATTTTACAACAAAGAAATTTTAAAAAATTATAAAAGGATAAATTAGTAAAATTCACACAATTCAGTATTCATATCAATATTTTTATCAAATAAGAATAGTTTATTAAGCATTTGTTTCAGACATTAAAATTTAAAAGTTAAGCATTCAGAGTTAAGCATTCAACATTTTTATTTCAGCATTAAGTATTCAGAATTAAATACTAATTTTTATCAAACAGACCTTAAGAATATCCACAATAGTTATAAACATTTAGTAAATAGCCACTTTATATATTTTATTATTACCGTACTGAGTGTGATAATATATATTATACGATACACGAATTCTTACACTGTATAATACATTTTTTGGATTAAAATATATTAGTGGAAATTTATGACGATATTAAAACTATTTCATTTTATTATACTTTGACAGCGTAAACTAATGTAGTGAAAAGTTGAAAAAAAATATAATATTGATTATGATATTATACTCAAGATAATTTAAATCATTGTGAATTTTTGAGAGAAAATAAACTTTAAACAAGTATTTTAATCACTCTGTATTCATAGAATTTGAACTCGTGTCATAATTACTTGTATCAATATTATTTATTGTAATAATATTCATTTTGTTTTTCTTAAATGGGACATTTGATATAGTGTGTATAAACTGGAATTTTCTATCAACAGATTTGTAAGCATACAATAATTGTTATTGTTAAAATTTAAGGAGATTTAATCATCAACCACTTTTTTAAGATGACAAAAAACATAGTTTGTGGGGGTGGGGGAAGACTGAAGCATAGTAAAACATCTATAAATTACGAATAATTTTTGAATCCCAACAGAATTAATTTAATTTTTCAATGAATTAATTATTAATTAATAAAAATCTTTAGAGACATTGTAATTAGTGTCACTAAAACTTTTACTTAGGATGAATATGAAGATAATTTAGTGTCTTCAAAACCAATCACACGAAAGCAAGTACTTTATGTAGCAATAACTGTGAAACCCCGAAGCCAAGCTTGTATATAAGGTTCAATTAGTAGGTTTAGTAACAATCTGAGTTAACTATTTTGGGTGTAGCAAAAACAAACACCCAAATAATTTTTGGAACAGACCTGCTCAGCTGGATCGTTACAATTACTATCTCAGCTGTCCTAGTCCGGGTGCGGATCCATATCTGATCTCAAATTAGAAGACAAAGGCAAGTGCGGAGACACCTCTGAGGTCATAGGACGTGAGACAAGTGAAACACACCTGTTCTAGGGAAGTCTGGGTCCAATTGGCTATTTTGTTGTGTTGTGGGCCTTCCGAGGACACAAGGATCCGAATGAGGGGTGATTGTGAATCCCCGAAACCAAGTTGGCATCTCAAGCAAGTGTTGAGAGTCGTGTAGCAAGGATTATGAATCCCACATCAGAGGCATAAGGACATGTGAATCACTTAATAAGTAAGGTAGTCTCAGAACCCATTAGCTTGAGCTTTTGAGTGCAGATGGGTCTTATCTTACTTATTGAGCTCTATGTCGGGTTTTCTCCTTCAGATAAATCTCCCATAGTGGTATCAGAATCCAGGTTGGACTAAGTGGGTGGGTGATTTAGCCCAAATTATCTCGATTGATCTGACTGAACCCAGGCAGTCAAAGGCCCACCACGAGCGGAAACGTAGGAATGGGCGGTCTAGTTACTTAGGTGGAGTACAGATTTGGGCTTGTTAAGCTAGTTTAGAAACCCGATGTGGAGATTGCCCATGACGAGGGAGAATGTTGAGAGTCATGTGGCAAGAATTATGAATCCCACATCGGAGGTATACATGTGAATCAGTTAATAAGTAAGGTGGTCTTCGAACCCATTAGCTTGAGCTTTTGAGTTTAGATGGGTCTTATCTTACTTATTGGGCTGCATGTCGGGTTTTCTCCTCCAGATAAATCTCCAACAGTGGTATCAGAGCCCAGGTTGGGCCAAGTGGGTAGGTGATTTAGCCCAAATTATCTCGGTTGATCTGACTGAACCCAAGCAGTCAAAGGCCCACCACGAGCGGAAACATAAGGATGGGCGGCCCAGTTACTCAGGTGGAGTACTGATGTGGGCTTGTCGAGATAAATTGGAAGCCCGATGTGGAGATTGTTCATGAAGGGGAGAATGTTGAGAGTTATGTGGCAAGGATTATGAATCCCATATCAGAGGCATGAGGACATGTGAATCAGTTAATAAGTAAGGTGGTCTCAGAACCCATTAGCTTGAGCTTTTGTGTTCAGATAGGTCTTATCTTACTTATTAGCCTCCATGTCGGGTTTTCTCCTTCAGATAAATCCCCAACAACAAATTGGTCAATGAGTCCCACATGGACAGATTATAGGATGGAGTATATATACATATAGTTCAGGTAGTAGGTTTACTAATAACTTGGGTTAATCATTTTGAGTATAGCGAGGATGAACAACCAAATAATTTTTGGAACAAACCTACTCAACTAGATCGTCCCAATAAATATTAAAACTTTTTGTTGCCTCATGAAAAATTTATACAATAATTTTAAAATCTATGAAAGAAAATAAAAAATAAAATTTCTTGAAAACGTAAATTGTAAGAAAAAACATACATTACTAGATTCATAATTTACCATTTCCTTTTTTTTTTTAATCTATAAATTTCAAGTTATTGTTAATTTATGATATTGAAGGGACGATAAGTTTGGGAGTTCATTCATTAATTTTTTTCATTGACATATTTTTTTCACTAGTTCTATTACTTGTGTTTTTAAATAGATCAATAATTACACAAGAGCGGTCCTACCTCCAACACTGAAATTATTTTAATTATGTGATATGTTCACACGGATTTGTGGATTGATGTATAGATTCATTTTAGGGAGTGATGTTTGCACATATTTGTGGATTGATGTGTAGATTTATCTTGGAGAGTGCAATTATGTGATGCATCAACGATGCCAACAAGAGATTGTATGAATTCATTGCATCTTATTCTTTGTGTTCACTCCGTTGTAGATGGATTTTTAAACATTAAATTGAAATTGAAGCACAAAGGGATCGAAGAAGAATAAAAAAGATAAAAAAAGATCAAGGAAATGTTGGGATCGTCGTAACCAAATCTTGCCATTCAAATAAGAAGAAATTTTTTAGTCTTTTCGGATTAACACTTTTTTTTTTACATGATAATAGTAAGCATATTTACAGGTTAATTTACACTCCATTCAGGTTTAATTTCCTTTAAATTGGGTAATTCCCACTCACAATAACATTAAGTTGTTTGGGACGCCAAGATTCGGACGTGATTCGTGAAGCATAATTAAATACGTCTAGCACTTTTTTCAAACAAGAGCCAAGTTTTTTATTGGTTAAATATTGACCAAGCGCGCAGGTGTCATAAATTAGAATGAAGAAAACTAAACTAAAAACAGCTGTGAGAATGAACCTCATGTATAGAAATCGCAATCCAAATTAAACAAAATTTGTTAAAATAAGTAAGAGAATAAATAAAGAAAATCACCTCCAAATAGTAAACAACAAAAATGAAAGAATTCGTATATCCTAGCTGACATTAATCGTGACAAGTTGCCATGTTGCTACACCACGTGTCTATCCTATATCGTAGACACTTAATTACTTTCGCTTGTACACTTGTCGTCCAAACAACTAATCTGGTTCCAGGTGCTTTTAAAACCTCCTTGCAAAACCTTTTTTTTACACTAATTTTCTTGTTCTTTTATTTTGTTCTGTTAAGAAAAATCCTCGATGAGCTACGTTCAACACATTGGCCATGAATCAGGTAAGAACTCCTGTCATCTCTACAGTCTATAATTGTTTCTGGTATTTTTCTAAATGATCAACTTCAGGTTACTGTTTAATTCATGTCATTTTTGAGGTTTGATTTGATTTTAGGTAGTTAATGGAAAATCGAATGCGGCTAATATGAATATATACTATATAAGTACTATGTTGTTTTCTTTCTAGGGTACGGATCATCGATGGGAGGGTACCCATCAGCGGTGCCACCACCGCCGGGCTTCTTCCGAGATGGTCTAGGTCCGCCACCGCCACCGCCACCATCGACTTTCCATCCAGGCTACCAAAGTTATTTCGATGAGGGCTATCCTCCTCCGCCACCACAACATATTGGCCATCAGCCGTGGGGATGGGGTTATCGTGATGATTATTTATGTTCTTCATTTGTCAATACCTGGTAATTGGTGTCTTTTTTGATTGCTTACAACTTAGCTTAATTAATTCCGAAATTCCTTTCAGTTCGTGTCTTCTTGTTTTCTCTCTCTTTTTTTTTTTTTTTAAAAAAAAAATTTAAAGCATTCGTCTTTCAACTACTCTTATTAATTATTAGTAGTATTGTCAATAATCATTTTTATTATTCACCAAAAAAAGAGTGCTTCTGAGCTCGAGCTTGAATGGAAATTCGGTGTAAGTTTGAGTTTGGTACATGTCCGCTACCTCATGTATCCAAAAATTTCATTCAACGATTGGTTGTTGGAAAAGATAGAAGTATATTTGTAAACTAGCATTTGCCATTAATATAATGTAAATGTGTAGTGCAAAAATTAGAAATTAACTAATAATGTTATAGATCAATTAATTATTGTGAATGTTCACTAATCAATATCAGGCAGGTGACAATACATTCCATCGATTGCTGCAGCGATTTATAGTGGGAGCTTCAAAAAAAAAAGAACAAAAATGGAAAAAAGATTTAAAGACAAAAAGCAGGATTTATTTTGGTTCTTTTGTAGTATGCTAAATGAATTATTATTGGGTTTTGCTAATTGAATTTGTGTGATTTGAACAGTTTGGCGACTCTTTGTTGCTGCTGCTTCCTGGATCAATGCTGTCCGCGCTGGTACTAAATTGTGTGGGATATATACAGTAAATCATAATCACAAAAGGACCATTTCAAAAAACAATCAGAGAAGGATATCGTCTGCCATGCCATGGCAATTAAAGATGACAAAGGATATGGAATTGTACTGGTTTTGGCTCGATTTTTCGCTGTTCTGAATTTTAGTGCAAAAACTTTGTCTTGTGAGATTTCAAATGGCCGTGGTGATGTAATTTTCAATGAATTGGCAGCTCTGATTGGATTTCCCATCTTTATTCTACCTTTTTTTTTCTTTTTTTTTTTTTTGGTTGTTTTTGCGGTAAACTTAGGCATCACATTTGTAGTCACTAAGATTGAAACAGATTGACTGTAAAAACAGCCAGCCGCATAATAGCCAACCAAAAAAGGGGGAACGAGGGAGACACAAAAAGTATCAAGAATCACAAGGACCTCAATAATGGATTATTTAAGTCATCAACCAGGCTGATCCAAAAACAAACTTGACAAAAGGCCATAAACCGAGCCTATTCCGAAATAACAAAGGAAAAAAAAAATCAGGCCATAAACCAGACCTACTTCAAAGTTCAAACTGAGAAATTCAGAGCAATCCCTCCAGGGATCAATTGTTCAAAGCAACAAACTATTGGCAAAGGCAAGACAGCTAATAGTAATTCATGAAGAAACTAATATTTATTGTTGATCATGATTCTGCTGCAGGGCTACTGGGTCCATCCTTTTCCTGTGTTGACAGATTCTCATCAGGTCGCACCATGGACAGAGGTTTCACATCCAAAGCAATCTCCCTGGACGGGCTTGCCGGCCACAACGGACTAAGAATCGACGCCAAGGAATACCATTCATGCTCGGCTGCTTTGATCCTCGAGGCAGCTTCCGCGCAAGCAAGCTCCAGGAACCGATTAGCTTTCTGCAACTCTGCAGCCCGAGTCGCGGTGGCTTCCGCAGCTGCCGCAGAAGTGTCTAAGGCACCGTTCACTTCATCCAGGCGGCGGCGAACATTGATCAAATCCAATTCAATTTGAGCTCTCTCCAGTTCCAGCGAAATCTTCTTAGCCCGTAAGGCAGCCATTTCTGATTCTACATTACACGAAGAATTACGCAGCTTCTCCGCCTCGTCAAGCAATGAGCGCGCTTCGGCAGATTTTTGGTCGTACTCCTTCAGGATGGCAGTATTGGTGCTATAGGATTTCCGGGTTTCCTCCGCCGTGGATGCGAACTTGTTCAGATCAGCCTTCAAGGAGTCATCGACTGGCCCTGAAGCTAATGCTTTAAGAACACGGAGAACTCCATCAAAATCATCACCAAAGATGTCAGCAGCTGATTTGACCATATAATCAGGTAGCAAGCTACGAGCTGCTTCAAATGACATTAAATATTGTGAGGTCGGTTGAGGTGAATCTGAGGTAACTGCCCGAAAGGCTGATCCTCGTTTTCCCAAATTGCTAGATGAGGTCGATTTCCGGGAAATTGTCGCCGCATCAGCATGATGAGTTGGAGACTTCATGACAGGGGAAGACTGGGTGTCTCCAGTGATGGAGACTTTGTCATGAAGAGAAGCAGAATGAGTTTGCTCAGGCTCGTCATCATCGTCCTCAATAATAAAGGGATTATCCTGTGGAGCAAAACGGAGAGTCAAAAAGACAAATTAACTAGGAAATGCTCATATGTAGAAGAAGAAGGTAGAATGAAACAAACCTGACTGTTGGAAAACTTGGAGGGGCTCAGTTTTCGTCGAAATGCCGTCCGCCTTGAACTTCGTAAGGCTTCTATAAGACTCTGAAAATCATAGTGTGTTAGGAAGCTGAAGGAAAGATCAATACAATTAGAGAAAGGTATATAGTAGGAAAAAAAGTACAAATCTTTTGCTTCTTTGAAACAATCACTGGAGTACTCACCAATGGTTCAGCCTCAAGATTACCATCTGCAAACAAAAACAATTAAAAGAGGAACAAAATGTAATTCAGTAATGAAATTAAAGGGATTTCGTTACCTTCTTCAGCAGGTTGTTTTGGTCTTGGACTATTATTCTGAGACGGAACAGCTTTAGCTATCTGGAGCAATTCGGAGTAGGGGAGTGCATTAAGAGATACGCACACAACCCTCCACCAATAGTCAAAGCCAGGCATAGTACCCAAGGTGGGGTTAAAGTCAGGCAGTTTGAAACCATCCATTCTTACCAATTGGTGGCTTAAATGAACATTGTATTCGTCCAGATCCAAATCATATCGTCCAGAACGCCAGGTTTGCCAACAGCTATAATCGTAATTAGGAGCAATTTGGAAAAATCCGAATTGACGAGCACAGAAATTGGACGGATAAAACTCGCACCACATCTTGAGGTTGGCACTAGATTCATTCAAGGGACAAAACCCACAAAAGATATCACGAGTAGTCAAAAAAGAGGCCCAGATTTGATCAATACCGTCGAAGGCACTACGATCACGTGGTCCGATTGAGACTTGAGTGGCTGCAGTCGGGCCGAAAGAGGGAAACCAGTGGCCAACGGTCAAATGTGATGTCATACAGTTAAAAGCAGGAGATTTATCACCGGTTGCTTCATAAAAGCGACGGAAAAAGCTTTCGTAAGAGATGTTTGGGATTTCAGAATTCTGGAAGGCCGAACAGATGGGGCGGCCAATGGGAATCACCACGTTCTTGGGCCGGACATCAGGAAAATAACAATACACCCAAAGGGGTAAAATCCACAAAGGACCAAACATATGGGATTGAGGATTCGAGCACAGCTCATACATAGAACGGTAAAAATTGGTAAGCAAAGCGGTGCACAAATCAAGTTTCTGGCCTTTTGCCAAGGAATATGCGACATTAATGAACTCAGAGGTCATCTGCATAGATCTAGAGCAGAATACATACCTATTCAACCAAATCGCAAGGAATTCAGTGTGCTCATTGACAGTGGGAATGTCTTTCTCCTGATTGTGGGCATCCATATACTGGTCGTAAGATTGTTGAGCAGTTTGATGGTCAAGATTTCGAAGGTCAGCAGACAGCATGATGTCGACTCTTGTTTCGCCAAAAGGAGCCAAACCAGTTATCATGCACAAATCTAGCAATGTAACTGACATGGGACCGCAAGGAAACATAAAAACATTGGAGGAGTGACTCCAGTAGAAAGTTGCGGCAGCCATCAGGTCAGGACAAAATGGGATGCCATCTCTGCAGAACATGATTAAATAAAAAATTTTGAGGGATTTCCATTCGCTTTCAAAGTGAGGCTTTAGGCGTTCAAGCCACTTGACCCATCGAGTGTGGATGGAACTATCGCACCAAGGCCAATATTGAGGGGTGGTGAAAGCGGGTTGATGGAGAAGATATGGAAAATAATTAAAAGTAGGCGGAGACACGGACTGGGGAATATACTCCGACAAGAAATGCGGTGGTTCCACATAACCACGCCCTAAGGCATAATGACGCTTGGATAGAGAGACACACTCTATGGTTGCGTCAATAGTCGGAACCAACGCTCTTTGTCGATCATTAGAGATGCCACTAGAGGTAGCAAAATCTATATGGGGCCTTGCCATAGAAATGTTCGGAGTGTTTCAAAATGAAGGAAAAAAAAGTGAAAACACGGAAAGTATAGAAGGGGCGAATATTTCAGTAGTACTTTAAATAGAGAAAAACTTTGACCACCCCTACTGTAAAAAATCTAAAAGGAATAAAAACGAATTTGAATAGAGGAAAGCATGTGCAATCTAATAAAATTGCATTGTAGATTTTTGAAAATAAAAGAAAATAATGAATACTTACTGTGAAAATCTTATATCTAATGTTTTTTTTTTTTTATTTAGGTAGTTCATTAAACTTAAATAATTGTGTGTGATTCGCTATAATAGATTCTTTGAACGTAAGTAGATTAGTACATGTAGCCAATACTAACACAATTAATCAGACATATTTAGTTATGGCCTATCTCTAGAAGTGCCTGCTTATCAAACTTGCTACCTAGGATATTTTGATGAGGGTTATGTTCCTTGGTCACTAGAACATATTGGTTATCAATTATGGGGATGCGGTTATCATGAGGCCGGCCTACGATAACCCCATTTATATTTTCATAAACATCCTCCATCTTTGTTTTTAGATACTTTTCCATTCTAGGATGTCTCATATGATACTACTGTTAATTTATCCCAAATAATATGTGGGCTAACTAATATGAAAAATCTACCGTAGAGCAATTATATTCTTTTTCTTTTCAGTGCAACAATACACCCAATATAAAGATAGCCATTGAAATCATAAAATGAAAGTGAACAAGACAATCAACACACACTTTCAATATCTTTAACGCGTAACTTCCAACTTCGAGCGCTGCAATTACCTACAATTGCTAGCGCCGTTCACTTCTTCCTCGCCAGCTTTGAACCCAACATTCCTAATTCCAATCAAGCTCCAATCACTTGCCTATTAAACTACATAATTCCAATCAAGATCCAATCTTGGTGATAGCGCAGTTCCACTCTCCCCTGTCCGTAAAACGAGATTTCCGCCGGATAGCTACTGAACCTCTCCATCATCAAGTTGAACTTCAGAGTAGCAGCCCCAGAAGTATTCAATGATAGTGGTTGTGGGAGATGCAAGGGTAATTCGGTCATCGGGCAATTCTTTTTCGTCCGATGAGCTACTTAAATTTCAGTTCCACACAGCCTTGAGCTCTCCACCGCAGCTAACGCCTATTACCACAGCCGGAAATTCAATTAGTGTCTTATGGGAGAATTGAAGATTGCTGCCCATGGTAAGGTTAATAAATATTTATCTTTTGCTGAGCGTGCCTTACAATAGAAGCACTCTCTACAAATCAAAGCTTTGGGGTTTGCCATACCAAAACGGTAGCCACGGGGGAGTTGCTCAAATGCCATTTCACTGGTCTTCAACAAAGTATAGCCACGGCTATGACAAATGGTGTATCCACAATTATAATAACTTTGTCCTTAGCTGCATCCTCAGAAGTGGTAGCTCAATTTAGTGGTCACCGAAGGAAAGGTAATAGCAAGACAAAGTGTCATGGAAATACTCTTTCACATTATAATTTAGCAGGGAGAGCAAATGGAATGGAGGAAAGTGCTTTCTCCCACATCCAGAGGAGTTTCTGTTGGTTACAATATTTCTGGAGTGGTATCAACTACATCAATAGTTCCAACAGTTATGGAACATGAATAACAGACAGACCCTGAGGTCGCATTTAGGGCTGTAGATCAAAGGGCTATGCCAGAGCTGTCAAATGTTGGTCCTGATGTAAAACTGAATATGTTACAGAGGCTCAGAGGTAGGTACAAAAAGAAACACCAGAAGGTGGTATCAGATAAGAGTTCGACTGTGCAGAAATCCCATTTTACAGGGAAGTGGAACCGTCTACCTAAAAAATCTTCTTCAATAGGCCTTCAAAGTCTTATTTGTCACTTGGTAGCAAGAGGACCGTTGAAAATGGTGAAGAACCAAATTTGCTTTGAGGAAAAACGAATCTCATGAAGTGGATCAGGCAGCCATCAATGTAGAGTGGGATAAACAACCTTGCAAAAAGAGGAGGATGCTAGCACAAAGCAGCTAGGTAACACTTCTTGACCCCAACTTGAATTTGCATGTTGTTAGTAGTGAAATAGAATCGATAAAAGGTTTTGCAGTGGTTGTACCAGATGAACCGCCTTTGTTCTTATGAGTATATTATCCTAGACTTGTAGATAGGTAGGTTAGTTAAGCAGTATAAGCCTAGTATTTTGTTTATTATAGAAACTAAGGCTACTAAGGAACATGTACAGGTATGGCAACAAACTTCAGTTTTTTAAAATTAGGTTGTAATAGACTCGGTAGGTCTTAGTGGTGGATTAGGCCTATTTTGGATAGATGGTGTGCAGATTAATGTTCTTCTGCAAAACTCAAATGTAATAGTCGCCAAAGTATATCAGGCTTCTGGTTTAGAGTAGTTAGCTATTTTCTATATGGTCTTCCTTCTCAACAAGGACAGACAGAATTTTGGGCTCAGCTGAATGGCACCATCAAAGGCTTAAACTACCCTAGTGTTATTTTAGGGGATTTCAATTAGGTAGTTAATTAGGAAGACAAGTTTGGAGGCAGACAAGTCAGGGATTAGGACATAAGATCGATCCAGAATTTCTTATCTCATAATGACTTGGAAGAACTGAAACATCTAGGTTGTTGGTATAGGTGGACCACCAAAAGACAAGGCCAAGATGCAATTTTTGAAAGATTGGATCGAGCTTTTGTGAATCGTCAATGGTTACAACAGTTCAACAAGGATATTATACGACATCTGCGTATTCTGAGCTCTGATCACGATCCAACTTTGGTTGACCTTTAGGAGAAAAGATCATCAAAGAAAAAACATAGGTTTGAACAATTTTGGTCTTGTTGTCCTTCTTCAAAAGAGTTGGTATGCCAAGCTTGGTCGAACTCAGCTCCCCAAATTGATAACCAGCAAGACTCCCTCTCAGTTAAGCTACAAAGAACTCTTTCGAATCTTCATAGGTAGAGAAAGGCTCAATTTGGCTACCTAGATAATTTGGTTCTCATTTTATCTGAAAAGTTATCAAGAGTTCAACAATAGTGGGAGCTCAATAAAACAGATGTTGGCTTGAGCACCTAATTGGAAGATTGCCGAATTGAATTGGAACAAGCCTTACAACATCAACATGATTACTAGCAACAGAGGGCCAAACATAATTGGCCAATCCAGGGAGACAGAAACTCAAAATTCTTTCATAAATGGGTAGCCAAGGAAAAAGGAAACAAGTGGATTACTGGACTGAGTAATGACAATGGCGATTGGGTGCATGATTATGCTCAGATTGCATCAATGTTGCAAGACCACTTTTCTCACATCTATATGTCCAGAGTCAAGTACACAAAATGCTAAAAAGTTCAATTTCTTCACTGGACTTCTTGATACAGTGGACAAAGTTTTATCCCCTGAGTAGGTTGGCTACTTGAATACTCCATTCACGGAAAGATATGTTTGGGCAGCAGTTAAACAAATGTCCCCTTGAGAGCCACCGGGACCAGATGGTATGTCTGCAGGTTTCTACCAACGGTACAAAGAGACTATAGGAGTGGAAGTAGAATCAGCAATTCGGGATGCGATCGATAATCAATATCTCCCTCAAGAGTGGAATCATACTCATTTCGTTTTCATTCCTAAAATATCCTCTCTAGTAACTCCAAATCATTTTCGGCCGATCAGCTTATGCAATGTCAAGTAAAGGATCATTACAAAAATGATAACGAATCGGCTGAAACATGTTATGAATGATTTGATAGATGAAAACCAAAATGGATTTGTTCACGGCAGGAATATTAGTAAAAATATCCTCATCACCCATGAGATCATTGAGTTTATCCGAAAGAAGGAGGGGGAAACAGGTCTAGTAGTTGTTAAACTAGATATGAGTAGCATATGACAGAGTCTCCTGGCCTTTCTTACAAGCAGTTTTACAAAAAGCACAGTTCCCTGCTTGGTTGGTTTCCCTTATCTTGCACTTTGTGACCTCAGTTACTTACTTTATCCAATTTCATGGTGAGAATTTGTCTCCATTTTCTCAAAATAAAGGGCTCGGAGAGGGGTGTCCATTATCTCCAAATTTATTTATCTTGTGCCAAAAGGTTTATCTTCAGCTATAAGATCAGAAATCCAGAACTTTCTAGGCATGGGAGTAAAGATAAGTCGCAATGCCCCAAGAGCCAATCACCTTATGTATGCTGATATAGCCTTTTCTTTATAGAGTGTAAGGAGTCCTTAGTGCTAGCCCTAGCAGGTCTACTCCAGAATTATGCCAACTTCTCAGGACAGCAGATCAATCTTCACAAGTACTCTATCCTCTTAAGTGGAAATACAACTCAAGACATGCAACAATTTGTCCATTCTACTCTCAACATTCCTATTGGACAGTAGAGTAAATATCTAGGAATGAGCCTGGACTTTAAGGAGAAGAAGAAGGTCATCTTCAAGGATTTCCCCACTAAAATCAGCAACAATTTTGCGTCGTGGATAACCAGGTTACTATCTTTACCTGGAAGTGTAGCGTTGGCTAAATTGACTTTGTCTTCTATGTTGGTTCATCCAATGGGAGTTTTTAAACTTCCTGCCTATACTATTTATCATTGGCAATATACTTGGCAATTTCATTGTGATTTTGTAATCTTCTTCCAAGCCCTCCAATGAATTTTCTTGTCTTGGATATCACCTTTCCAGATGAATTGCCAATAATTTTATCCGCTTTATGACAAAAAAAAAAAATCTTACTATTAGTTTTTTACGTACCAATTGATTTTCTAAGAATTATTTATCTTTGTTTAATTTCAAAGTATGATTAAAGCTATATCATCAAAATAGGTTATACAAAAAAAAAAGATAACAATTATCTTATTGAAGCATTAATTAAATTGAAAACCCAAAACAATAATGAAATAGAAGGAAAATTTATCAATATAATAAGTAACTAGTGCTTAACCAGTGATTATTTTATTTATGAGGTTGAAATTGTATAAATTATAACACTTTGTAGGATCT